ATGAAATGAAGCCAGCATGGGGCACAACACGAAATCTCTTCAGGCACAACATTATCACGTGATTGGCCGTTAGGCATGCGTCAGGGCGAGGTTAGGCGTGTGCCGCGCACGCACGGACATTCCTTCCGACTCTCTGTCCTCTGGTCAAAGTTGGTAACCCGTGATGCTTTATCACTCCATTATCGATGCATAAATTGATCTCCATTTTCAAGATGAACACATAGATGATGTCCCCTGCTATCACTATGTAAAGATTTTAGACTCAGAGGTTGGGAACTGACCGAGATATACTGATATCCCTTCCACCCACTCTCCCCATGACTTTCCACCTGTCTCATGGCTTATACTTGCAGGTACGTACATAAAAGGGGTTATCGAGGGTGCTGAGAATGATGGACAGTGTCTTAAGATGATAGCCTGTCTCCTGTGAGTTGCAGAGAGTGATGATGTTGAAAGACATTGGTTGAAAGTATGAGAAGAGATGAAGGGAGATCTGTGCGAGAGAAGCCACGTGGTTTCCGCGCCTAATTCCTTGGCCCATGCATGCCTAACGGACAATCACGTGATAATGTTGTGCGTGAAGAGATTTCGTGTTGTGCGCAAAGTTGGCTTCATTGAAACGCGTCCCGAGGCCGGAAACGAGCGGCAATGTCGTACAGTCGTATTGTTATGTTGCCTGCATGCATGTTGTACATCACCATCACCTTGCATCCCTATATTTTCATTCTTTCAACGACCTATATCATCTCGCCTCTCTTCTCTTCTGCTGAGCAGTCCGACTCAACTGACTTTGACACCGCCCTTAACGGTACGTCCCCCCCGCTCGGACTTCCGGGTTTTAAAGTCATTCATTGACCTCTCAGCGCTTGGACCTTTTCCCTCTTTGTCTCATAACGACATCTCTTCTAAAGCTTTTCTCATCCCTTTACTCTATATTTCTTTTACATTTACGATGACTCGTCATACGAACCAACTTTTGTCTCTCTTTTTCGTCTCTCTTTCTTTACTGGCCGTCGTTTCAGCCGCTTGCTCGGCTTCTTCTCCTTGTGGGGCGGATGCACCTTGTTGTTCGGAGTATGGATACTGCGGATCGGGATCGTATTGTCTAGGAGGATGTTCGCCGCTGGGTATGTATCTTGATCACCCTCCTCTGAAATTAATCCTACCGTGACATCGATGATCAGGAAACAAAGAGATAAACATCGGTGGAAAGCTTGGGTTGATTCAAGATGACTGATGAGATAGGTTCACACTCCTTTACTTCTTGTCGTCCGGATCCTATTTGTGTTTCTGGCGAAACGGACTTTACCGATCTCTCGAGGGTTCTACAAAACAGTACCGCCTACACTGGGAATGTGACCGGATACGATTGGATATGTGAGTTTGAATACGGAACATCCATGTCGACCCTGCTCGATTCACACAACTCAGTCTCAACTTTTGACCCATTAGAACATGTCCTTCGCCCCAATCTCAAAGCCTTTGCTCGATCTTGTTCCTCAGAGAAATTCTCTCGCTGCCGAGGTACTTGAGAAAAAGTCGACGGGGCTGACATGAAGTAAACACTGGAACTCTGGTTCCCGACCCTAATGGTCAAGGAGTTCGACTGACCCTCACTGAGAATGATCAAGGTACCAAAATCTCCAGCACAAGATATGTCCACTATGGTCAAATTGATATGACTCTTGGTCAGTCCATTTCTTACTGACCTCCCACCCCAAGCTGCTTTCTCTCTTTGCCCGTGACCAACTCCATGCTGATCATACAGAAACATCGAAGTGGCAAGGCGTGGTCACTGCCGCCATCACCATGTCTGATGTTCACGTGAGCTCTCTAGAATTATGGCTGCTGAAGAGCTGACTTGTAGGACGAAATCGATTGGGAGTTCCCAGGTAATAACACTTCGTCTGGTCAAACAAATTATTGGTTCCTTGGTATCGCCAATTGTGAGTTGACACATGGAAGTAAGTGAGACCATGCTGAGAAGTAGACTCTGCAACAGAAGGCCAGACGGTCACTATCAATTCTGACACTTCGAGCAACTTCCATACGTACTCTTTCAACTGGCAAGAAGATTCTTTGCAGTGGTTGGTGGATGGGAATGTGGTGAGAACTGTCAATAAAGATGATACAATTGTGAACGGAGTGGCGTGAGTTGAATACCGTTTAACCTCGGCATATCATTGCTTTCCCCCAATATTCGTCTTTCTCTCTTTCCCCGATATGGTTTGCGCAAGCTGGCGGACGTAGTAGAGGAGGCAAGTGATAAGAAGCTCGAAGAAAGGCCAAGACAGAGACTGATGGTAGTAAATACCCCACAACACCATCCCGGATCGAAATTTCCATCTGGCCAGCAGGTATCAACGGTTCTGCTCAAGGAACGATCGATTGGTCTGGGGGTATGATCAATTGGGATGATCCAGATTACGTCTCCAATGGGTATTTCTACAATACACTTCAAAGTGTCAAAGTGAATTGCGCCGAGACTGCTTCTAGTGGGAATATAACAGGATGGAGTTATACTGGAAATGGGACTGATGGAGTTCCTGTGAGTATCTTCTTCTGTTCATTCATCATGATCCTACCTATCCCTCTACCATCCACTTCCCTCGCATACATACAGCCTTCCTCTCTCCTGTACATGATCAAGCTCTTCTTGCTGAACAACTGGGATGATCTAGTATATGTATTGACAAAAAGGTCGTTGCCGAAACCAATGCCTCTTTATTACTCAATTCTGCTAAACCGGTTTATCAATCAGCACCTGGTGTGTTGGTTCTTCTTTTCACTCTTTTATCAATCGCCTTGCTAGGCTGTAATATATAGTCATAATATGAAGGATGCATGACGCTATCATGACTTGACATGCCCCTCCACCCTCTTGTCTGCGTTCTGCCTTCTCCATAAAACCCTGATCATTCTAAGACTTTCTTGATATGTTGATCCATAATTCATCGGTTATTGTGTTTCAAACTGACTCTGCGCGAAACCTGCGACGTACTACAGTGGTACAGTGACGTACCTTTAACGTAAAAAAGGTGACAAACCCCCACGTCATTCACATCCCCAACGATCCCAACGATCCAACGAATCCGTTCAACTTTTGGACAACTGACTAAAATCCATTCCAACCTTGCACCCATCTGACCTCTTGATCACCGGCAGATGCAGACGAGATAGGCCACCAACCGAAAAGTCTCGAGGGGGACGATCTATCCAAGTGAGAGGTGACATAAGGTTCAACACTCGTTCGGATGTATTCAACTCTTCAACCAGTCAAGTATTGGTCATGTCTCAAAATTGGCAGAGTGGTATGAAATGGTTACAGGGGATAGTAGGAGGATGGATAATTTCTTTATTCCTTTTACTTTTGATATCTATACCTTGGATCTTATGTGAGGATACTTTTCATCTTCCACTCGATTCTTCGATATCTTGTTCCTTACTCAACGTCAACTGAAACTGCATAACTCATCATACTTGGTGTGTAACCAGACCACTGTCTGAAGACTTGAGTTAAGAAACGGAAGAGGAGAAGGATACATGAATAAAGCTGACTTATAGTTCCAATCATCGGTCTAGTAGCATTACCTACTTTCTTGATTTCTATATTTCGTAAGTCCATCTTCTGAATTTGAGATGAGAAAGAGGTGAAGAGTTGATGGAGATAGTGTTGGGGGTTTTGATACCTTTCCAAGCTTATTTATTACTTGGACAGACGGATCGACCACCTTGTAAAATCTTCTTCAGCGTTAATCCAGGTGAGTCCAATTTACCATGATACCATCTTATCAGTCGTCACACTTCCCTCTTGAATGTTTGAGGTTTATTTGAATTTTTCCCGCTCATGCCGTTCGGAGTCATTGACAACATGGAGGATGGAGAGTGGTAGAGTGATAATATTGAAGAGTCTCCCGAACGTTGATTGTCAAATTGCAGAAACATCTGACATATCAGTTAGATGTTTTCATATTTGTTTGAGAACATACGACCACTTTATCTTTCTCCTAGATGCTATCCCTTCCGTCGGGATAGGGATGTTGAAACAACTTTTCGTTTTTCTTTCCAACATCGAACCGAATTCTCGTACTTCACAAAATATCTTATCTCCATTTCGATCGTTGAGTTTGAGAGGTGTGACAGCTACGTTAGTTCTCTCTCTGTCTCCTTTTAGTCGGTGTATCTGAACGATAGTTTTGGATTGATTTACGATGACCAAAGCTTGAATAAATTGGATATTTATTATCCTTCACTTTCTACTCTTCATCTTCAACAAACGATAACAACACCTCAAACACCTCCTACACAAATGCCGGAAGACACACAGGGTACGACCTCAACATGTGATCCAGTCAACATATCCGGTTCCTCAGACCCGCTGGATCCATTCCCGAGAGGAGAGCCGCAGATAAGACCACAACCTGTTACTCCACTATCTTCTTCTACTATCAGCCTCAATACGATAGATAAGAAACCGGTGGTGGTGTTCGTCCCGGATGTCGGAATGACCTCTTTGTTCACCTTGAAAAGATGGATGTTTTCATTGTTAGGTATCAAACTTTCCCAGATGGGTTATGGTAAGCTTACACTCTGCTCTCGATGAAATATATTAGTTTGGGGAGGAGCTGATATGGACAGTGGTTTTGATACCCGACATTACACCTTATCCAGAAGGCAAGATCGAGGTCATGTGTCGGGATCTTCGGTCGGTTTGTCAATGGGCGAAGAACAATGTCGAGTGAGTCATATCAGCCCAGACTGAGGCTTCGAGGTCGAATTTGTGTGATAAAATGTCAGAGATCGGAGAGGAACCAGAAGGAGATGGACATTCTTGGGAAGGATTTTCGACTGACCAATAGGGAATATGGAGGTGATCCCGATCGGACATATATTTGTGGACACGGTCTAGGAGGTACTTTAGCTTTGCTGACTTTGACGCAAGAAGCAATTGTGCGAGCTGGCGAAGGGATGATGAGAAAGTTCGGAGCTCAAAGAGTGAGAGAACAGATGCCAAATGGACTGAGAGCGGTGAGATGTTATCATCGAGAGGTAATCATGCCGGATATAAAGGGGTTGATACTGTAAGCGTCAGCTTTGTTCGTCAATCAGGATGAAGTGATAAAGAGCATCGGGAGATTGTCCGTGGGATCGAGTGGAGAGGGAAAGAGGAGTGACGTTGATCTGACACTTACCGACAGCCTCGCCCCCATTGGCGATTGTCTCGAACAGATCCAATACGAAGCCAGACGATGGATCGAACATCTTTCTCCACTCCGGCGTATCATCGGTCCTTCCCAGACGAAATGCATGCAACATTCCGTCACTCATCTTCTCTTCGCAGCGAGGTCCATTTTGCCAGTCAATTGCCTGCCGCGGATGTTGGTCGTGAGCACGTGGGTGTTCCTCTACTCAGAACACCAGCATTCCTTTTTTTTATATTCCCGACTTCATCATCCTACTAGGGCCATGATCAATTTCCCCGCCATCATATATGTTTCAGAATATTCCTCGCCTGCTAGAGGCAAAGTCATGGAGGTCAGAAGAACTGATGATCAGAGGTAAAGGTGTCATACCACCTACTCAGGGGATGAACCTCCATGAGATCGTTCATGGTCTGGGTATCCCCACGACTTTTCAGGTATTTCGGGAAATGGGACATTGGGGAATGATTAGAACCTTGATGACTGGATTGGAGGATGAGTATTCGGAAGCTTTACGTTCAAGCGGTAAGTGTCTACGTACAAGCTTTCCGTCCACTTATGGAGATAGTCGAGGAATTCGTTGTTTAATTCGATTTCACAAAGCAGCGACGCCCGGTGTTAAAAAGATAAGTCTAAAAAAGGTAAAGCCTACGAATTGTATGGTCAGTCGGGGAACATACGAGAGGGTTTACAAACACAGGGAAATTTGGAAGAAGAAGTGGTCTTGTAATACTTTGTACCAACAATAAAGTGTTGTATTTGTATCACTTTCAATCATTTGCCAAAGAGAAGTAGTTGTCAGTGATGATATCAAGTGCATCTAATTGACACGTTCAGTCTGCCAGACGGAATTGGTCGCGAACTCTTTAGGCGCTATTGGTTCGGTCTGAATTTCAGTTCGTATTCTTGAGAAACCCCTCGGACTCTGAGTGTAATGGTCCCAGTCCGAATTTCCCACCATGAAGCTTCACCGGAGTACACAAGTGTGGTAATACAGAAACCATAAATCGGATACACAGATGCGGGAATTCAGGAGTAAGGGGAGGAGGGAGGGATGCCAAAACTCACACTTTGTCCTCTGAAAGATCCAGTCAGTCGTCTATCACGTTCCATCATCATTTCGTCCCAAGTATCAATGTTGTATCTTGGAGGCTGAGGATTAGTGCCAGTCATTTCATTCATTCGTCCGTTCTTGCTCCCTTCTTCTAGCGATCCACGTTTCCGTAATTCCATCGATATGGATGTCATATGTCACAACCTGCAGAACAATCCGCCTCTCTCCCCTCACATTATTCTTTCCTGAACTCCAGGGGTAGTAACAAGCAAGATTGAGGTATCGGAAAGATGATGTCGTGTGTAGGAAAAACTCACCTTCCAGTCATTCGTAGCTCGTTTAGCGATGGAGAATAAAGTTCCTGTAGCAGCGAAACATACTGTTAAAAGACCTAACAGTCAGTCATCTTCGGTAAGCTGTTTGAGAGGGCTGACCGAAAGGTATGAGAGCCTGTTGTATATCAGTATTCAGATACATATGTGATATGATTACTCACTTCGAATGGGACTGGCATTCTCAAGGGTGGTGATGTATGGCTGATATCTGAAGTCTGAAGTAAGAGGAGGGACGTTTTCGAGACGGTATGTTGCGCGCGCCTATTCGAAAGGTTAATCCAAGCACGCGGGGCTCCGAGCTGGACTATCTTCCATTCCGAGCCGGTCTCCAAACTTCTCCCACCTTGCAGAATCTCATCGGCATATATTGGGAGAGTCAAACTAAGTAGTGGAGATCAAGTATCCAAGATGCCGCCTAGGAAACCTAACGTATCGAAGCAAGAGCCAAAACCTGTCAGTTAGGACGACGACCTGACGGAGAAAGCTGACGCAATAGAAAGCGGACGTAGTGGACGAAACTCCCCTTCAAGCTGTCATCCTGGCTGATTCTTACAATCGACGATTCGAAGTACTATGTCATGATACCCCACGCATACTTTTACCTTTATGCAGTACTCCACTTTTGACTTGGACCTTGGAGGCTTTGAGTTTGAGTAGGGTTAAACAGGTTTTCGTTTTTTGTGGTGTGCATTCGGATCAGATAAGGGAATATGTTGCGTGAGTCTCCACTCCCCTCCCCTCCCACTCGGTCTAGAGTACCTATCTGCGAGACTTTTTTTTGGGTCTGGCAATGAAGTGGAAATGTTCGGTATGTTGATAGCCCCTACATATGGAGAAAGAGTAAATGAAATGTCATGGTTGAGAGCTAGCTGATTTCAAAGGAATTCTCCTTATAGATTCACAATGGACATTCAATGTTTATCATCCACCACTACCATGTCTGCTGGAGATGCTCTGAGAGAATTGGATGACATGCATGTGAGTAAATTGACTCTTGAAGTTTTACAAGAGACTCATCATCAAGGTTTTGAACGCTGATAATCCTTTCATACTCGTTCATTCACCCCTCGTCTCAAATTACGATATCTCCAAAATGGTTGAAGCACATAAGAAGAGAAGAGAAGTGGACAAAAACTTTATCATGACCATGGGCGTTGGTCGTGGTGGTCGGTAAGTATTCCACTTCGGCAAGACGTCTGGCTAATGATGTCAGACGACATCCAGAATCTCCCATTATGCTAGTCCATCCCCCTTCCTCACGATTGTTGCATTATGCACCTCATCCACTTTCACCACGTCAACCGAGAATCACTTTTCCCGCTTCGCTCTTCCTCGACCCCTTTCCGACTGACATCGACACATACGAAATATGGTCCGGCACGTCTTCTTCTTCCCGATCTCCAGGTTATCGTGATCTGGGTGTGGACATCTGTGAAGCAGACGTTCCTGCTCTGTGTACGGAAAATTTTGATTATCATGATTTGAGAAGACATTTTGTGAATGGAGTCCTTACGAGTGATCTGTTAGGGAAGAAGATTGCTGTTCATCTGGCTGGCGATGAGGAGGATTGTGGGGAGAATAGGTATATCGAACGTATCAGAGATACGCGGACGTTCGGGGACATAACGTACGTATGCACGTTCGTATTCTGATCGTATAAAGCTAATGTGTTAGACAGGATGTGTTGAGAAGATGGAGCTTTCCTTTGGTGCCGGATCTGAATGAGCCTGGAGGGGTACAATATGAATTACGAGCTGGTAACGTTTATATCGCAAAGGATAACGTGGTCTTATCACGGTGGGGTTCGTATTGTCATGTTTGTCTCAAGGCTTATGATTAGGACCACCACCTTGAATGGACCACTTCTTATTGGCCCTCGCAGCTTACTTGCCCACAACACATTAATCACACAATCTACTCTTGGCGCAGACTGTTCTATCGGACCTAATACCACCATCTCGCACTCGTACGTCTTTGAGGACGTTCGCATCGGCGCCAATTGTTCTCTCACCCAATGCATGATCGGTCGAGACGTCCATATATCTGATCGAGTCAAAATAGGTCGTGGGGCGTTGATAGGACACGGTGTGCGACTTGGGAAGGACGTTCAAATCCCAGAATTCGCCCGCGTTGGTCGTGTACCGTATACTCGAGACGATGACCCTGACGCTGAGGATGACATCAGTCCAAGTTTGGGTGGCGACAGTCTGGGGTATATATGGCCACAAGAAGAAGAGGAAGCGGATGAAGATTCCGATGACGATGGTGAAGATCCGTACGAACATCCCAAAAATAAACGATTATTACAATTGGGTCGATCTCTCTCCAACTTCTCCACCTCTGAAGATTCGATCTCGACCCTTTCCAAAGCTTCTTCACCATCACAATCTCCCTTATCCATGGCCTCGTCTCTTTCAGGACTCGATCTGCCCTCTTTACACCTGGACGACGGACCGCCCGAGGCATTCTTCACTGAAGCACGTGCTTCTTTGGCCAGGGCCTACGAGGAAGAACATAGCGTGGAGAATGCTAGATTGGAATTGAGGACTTTAGTCATGGGTTATAATGCTGGCGTGGATAGGGCACGTGTCGAGGTGATAAACTTTTTGTTGTCAAAGATTGACATCAAAGGAGGGGCCATGGCTACTTTACAATCTGCAACTAAGATATGGGATAGATGGGGAAAGGTGTTGGAAGGATTAACGCCGGATCCTACTAATGTCATACTTGACATGCAGGTGAGTAAACATTGATTAAGAGGTGGAAGCTGATGACTTAGGCGCATTGTATCAATCATGAAGATTACATGCCCGTGTTTGGGATATTACTGAGAGCGGTATACGAAACGGACATTGTGAGTGAGGAAGATTTGGTAGAATGGAGATCGCTTAGTTCGGCAAGAGGAGAAGGGGCGAAGGATGAAGATGAGAAGAAGAAATGGGTGGAAGTGTTTGTGAAGGGAAAGGCTTATGTGGATGTCTTGGAACAAATGGATAGTGAAGACGAAGACGAGGATGATGAAGAGGACGAAGAGTAGCAACGAGTAGCACTATCATAGCTTGTAAAGTTGATCCATCAAAATTTTGCATATATGATATCGCCCTGTCAATCTGCTCCAAGACTGACGTTGGACATGCAGACTCTTATGAGGATCAGACAAAGAGATATACAATTCCCGAGACGAGGTCTGAGAATGAGAAAGGGAATGAAAAAAGGCTCACAGATGTCGCAAGGCTACTATCAAGTGACTGGTTATTGTTCTTGCCTCTCGGCGACCAGTAGCTAGCGAAACCAAGCGTTTTTCTCTAGCACTTTATGTACTTCTAACAGCTCTTTCAAGCATACTGTCAGGTCGTACTGATCTCATCAGCTTACTACTTCATATCAATTCACTTTATAAACTCACCAAAAGTGCGATGAGAAAAGTTTCGGGTTGGATGACGGAGAAGAAAAGTTAAGAAAACCAGTCACGTGATCCAAAGTCCACTCACTCTCAAAGTACGCGCCATATAAGAACTTTTCTATCCGTCATGTCTTCTCCACCTTCTTTTTCATAACGGATATAATCATGGACAATCTGTCTCACCCGGGACGACAAGATGTCCCTCAGGGATCAAATGGACAAAGTTCAACGGGTATATGGGGTGATCCTGCTAATCTAATGAGGGTGTATCCTATACCCGCTTATACGCCTACTGCCAGAGGTGAGTAACTTCATTTCACCTTTGATGTAGGGGGGATGAAACGGAGAAAAGAGAATGAGGCTGATGAATTAAGTCGCAAATCATATAGCATCGAACGCAACTACTTATCTACCTTCCATCTCACCATCTGAAGCTTATCCTCAATATACAAACGTTTTTGAGAGAATGGATCATCCTCAATCTGAAGAAGATCAGCAACTGAGACAACAGGCTGAGCTACAGATCAGACAATTACTCACATCTTCTGGTCAAAGGTGTGTGTTCCTTAAACCATCAACACCTCTGACAGTCTCCTGAAATCCACCCTCAACGTGGTACAAGGCTGACGAGAAAGTTATCTTCCAACTCCTTCTTACACTTCTTCTTACTCCTCTACACCCACAGATGGACCGAACAACCTACCGAAGCTCCCAATGCCATACACTTTTCTCCCTTCTTATCTCCCCTCTGGAGGTTATCGTGAACCTCCCACACCAACTTCCATCATCTCTTCAAATCCCTCCCCTCTTCATGCTCCTGAAACCCCTTCCCCGGCCAAAGAATACTTTGAGAATTACGTTGATCGTGTTCTCAAATCTCAACCTGTCCCACCTAGTGAGAGTGAATCTGAGCCATCTTCTTCTAGACCACCCTCAATAACTTCAACACCTCATCTTTCTCGGACTTTGGCAAGGACTGCTTTGACACCTGATGAATCACCGGATGCACTTACCGGTCCCTCGCCCTCGAAAAGAAGAAAACAGGGCAGACAGGTAGACTCGCAATCACCTTCTGTACGATTGAGTCTTGGTTCAAAGGGATTTCCCATTGGTAATCCGCCAAAACCTAGGAAGTCAAGAGACGAAACACCGACACCAACACAAGCAAGGGTGAAATCGGTTTCGATAAGTCCGTCGCAAGTACAAGTGGTTATTCCTACCCGGAAATCCTCACTCAGCATCCAAGATGAGGAAGAGTCTGATGAGGATGAATTGGATTGGGGTGAGACTGAAAAGGACGAAGATTGGGTGATGAGAGACAACGATGAGATGTATAGACCTCAAACACCCGAGTATCGTGCGACACCTCCTATGGGTAGTGGAAGGACAGGCGAGAGAGATACAAGGAGTGAGTAAAACTTTCTGTATCTCATCTTTGAGCCTGCACTGACTGTCAAGCTAATCTGCAAAGATTACAAACCCTTTGTGAGGATATCTTTGAAGAAGCCGATAATTTCCCAGCAGAGATCTCAACTGAAGATGTCGGTGGTAGCCAATTCTTCTCTGCTATATCGAAGGAAGGTGACGCCGCGCTGCTCTCGGCAGCCTCTATGGATAAGCTCATTCGATATGTTTCCCGCGTCCAAGGGACAAGAAGAAAGTTCAAGCATTCTGATGAGCTCCTACAGCTCGAGGTTGAAGTGATCAAGAGACTTTTCCGATTGTTGGAACGCCGACTTCGTGAAGTGGAAGACATCGTGATATTTCCAGATGACGTCAGTGCCAACATGAAGGCCAAAGGTAAAGGGGGCAAAGCGAAGAGGGGCAAAAAGTCCTCCAAGTCACCAGAGAAAGATGTAAACGACACCATGCCAGACTCGCAACAGAGCACCAATCGCGCTTCACCCACTTCTGATGAAATGATGACATCGGAACGACTGGACAAACTCGGCCACGATCTGAAGCTCATAGAAGCGGGCGGATTGGCAGCTCAGTGCTGTTTGCTGATCCTGGACAGCGAGGGATTGCCCAAACCACTATACTCGGAGGACATGATCTCCGCTAGTATACGGGTTGTAAAAGATCAGATCACTAAGGTCATCTTACCTCTCGTTCATGGTCTCGCAGGTGGCAGTGAGTCAAGATTTGCTTGGTAACACATTGAGCTTGCTGATCTTCAACAGAATCGTCTTCTCGTGCTCTGTCACATGTAGTAGACGAGGAATTACAATTAGCGAAGAAGAGCAAGAACAAAACCATATCGCCGTTCTTCCAAAATCCTGTCCTATTGGTCATCGCCCAGTCCGCCAGTACCACCCTAAGGCATCTCAGCTCCATGATGAGTCGTCCTGACCTGTCATTTCCGGATACTCTTGTCATACAGAATGTTTATCTGTCTATCGAACCGCTCTTCGCCGCCGATCCGGTCAACGTAACCAAAAAGAAAGGGAGAGAATCAGGTAAGGACGTCGGAGTGTCAATCATGAAGACTCTACGGACAGAGGCGCTTGGTTGTCTACGTGGGGTGAGTCATACTATCCATACCTATGGCCAAAGTTGAAGGTGATAGGCTTTTGCCAAATACGAAGGTCAAAGACAGTGGATCATAGAAGAGATTCTTGGTTCTCTGGCGAAAGTTCCCGAACAAAACGCTTCACAGGCTCGGTTTCAGTAAGATTCTCAAATCACTCGCCTTCATGCCTGACTTTGACAGATTGTCTGACGGAAGTTCGATCAGTACGACCTCGGCTTTACTCTTACAGCTCATACAAGCTTCCACCTTCGTTGTTATTTCACAGATACGCAGACTTAGAACCACCGTTGTCGACATGAACAGCTCGTCTTCTTCCCTTGTACCGACAGACACATCCGACGAGGTGAGTCAGATATGCTCTCCGTAATCTCCGACTCTGACGTCGCAGGAGCTTCGTCTATTAACGGATGCGATGGACGCATCAGTGAAATCAGCCCGGGTGGTGGCATCTTACTTGGTGCAGAGGTGAGTGTATCGGCCGTCCATTCTTTCCATACTGATCCACCAGGTCTAGTACTGCGAAAGCCACCAAAACATCTCGAGATACCGACTACAAGGTCGTCCTTGAGACATTTGTCAAAGATCTGTTAGAGGTACTATATCGACCGGAATGGCCAGCGGCCTCATTGTACATCAGCCTAATATCTCGACTGATGGTATGTGTCTTTCTGAGAATGACTTAGCGTATCGCTGACGTGCTGACTTCTGTCGTGGAAGAGCAGAAAGGGGGCAACGAAACTTCGACGGCAAGAAGCATCGCTCTTGATCACTTGGGCGACATCGCTGCTCGTCTCAGGGAAATGCACCTCAAGATGAAGGCAGGGCACAACGTCCCATCGACTGATGATCTCATCTCAAACCCTTCTGCCGACGGATGCACCTCTCTGCTCAAGGCGCAACACCTGATTGCTTCCTTTTTGTCCACGGCTGCTGGAGAGGACGCTATGTTCTCCGTCAGTCCTCCGGTCCTCCTCCTCTCATCAAATTTTTGCTGACAAACAGGGTGCTCGTGACATGTCTTCCATCATCTGGGCTCAAGAGCTCCATGCAGCCATCAGCAAGGGTACATCTGTCGTCGAAAAAGTGGCAAAAGAAAAGGGGGAGGAAGCTGAGGAAACTCGAGAACAGCTCCAGGTAATCATCCAGGCACTACGATCAGCGCTCCTGAATGTTTGGAATTCAGACGAGAATGTGTTTGGGACGAGGTGAGTCATGGATGACCGACTTTACCTGCTGATTTGTCAGCGATCCTCAAATCGGTGAACATGCTGTTTCAGCTGCTGTTGCCATCGCTCGAGGAAGGTCGTTGCAAAATGCTTTCGAACCCATACTTCACGCCATCATCAGTGCCATGGACAGCCCCGCCGTGGCCCACCGTCAGAAGGCTTTGAGGGGTATCAGCAGTGTTGTCACTGTTGATCCTGACATCTTAGGTCTCGTGAGTCGTTAAACCCTATCAGACTTCCGCTTACCGTAAGGTACATGTCAGACATGCCATTGAAGACAGATTATCAGACGGCTCACCCGCTGTGAGGGACGCAGCAGTGGAATTAGTCGGCAAGTATATCGTCCAGCAACCTCAGCTTGCAGTTGAGTATTATCCTCAGATTGCGTTGCGTGTCAATGTGAGCCGACCATCTCTTTTGACAAATGAAGGAGCTGACGGCCAGGATTCGGGACTAGGTGTAAGGAAGAGAGTTATAAAACTCCTTCGCGGTATATTTTCTTCGGTCGAAGATCGAGTCGTCCGTGTGGATATTTGTTGCAAGTTGGTAGGCGCAATGGCAGATACAGATGACACTGTTCAAGTGAGCATTCAGCGCGCATGAGGTTCGAGCTGATGGGGCTTAGGATATGGCCTTGAAAGGATTGATGGAGATATTGTATCCTCAAGGAGGAAATGTGCACTCCGCTTTACTCTTGGTGGAGATTATTGGCGAGTTTCAAGGTAGTGACACGCTGCTGAAGAAGGCTCTTCAAGGAGTCAGTCTCATACGATATAATATACCAAGCTGACCGTATAGATCATAAAGGAATGTGAGAAGACTTCCAGGACTGCGAGCATTCAAGAGACGGTGGAGGTTCTAATCCGTCAATTGGTAGATGCTACTGAGCAAGCGGACTTTGTGAATATAGCTAACTGAATGTGACGAGAGTTAACACACAGGATGCCCTCAGTCATATCCGAGCCATACATTTGCTGTGCGCCAGTTTACCCGCGTTGATCGATACCAACCAAGCCACCGTATTGCTCTCGTACTTACGTCCGCCTGCCAATGTCAGTCCATCGGTCACATAATCGTTGATGCTTATGTTCAGACGGACGAGCAAGCCACAAATGATGAACTTCTACGCATATTCCAAAAGTGTATACCCCATATGCCGCGCACGGCTTCGACGTTCGCGACCGACCTAGTGAAAGCTTTGCTACCCATGATCAGCAAACCCGCCGGTGGTTTCCAAGCATTGAAAGAGACCATAGGATGCTTTTGCGTTGTTACCACATGTCTTACTCGTGACTATACCCGTCTTATTGCAGTCCTCCGAGCGTGTGAAAGTAAGTCGCTGAATGCCTTTGATCCAGAGGTTGGCTGAATTCGATAGACAAGATCCGAGCATTCCACAAGGCGCTCAAAGATGGACAAACCCCCAATGTTCAGGCCGCGGCTATGATGCTGTACATCACCGCTCTTATCGCCGAGCATTGTAATCTGGATCAAGTCGCCGTCACCAATGAGAGCGTCAAAACGGAGCTTGTTAAGATCACAGATGTAAGTTATAGACAGTCCGCATAATGCTGATCTCAGGGTTTACTCTATGAATATCTCTTCTATCTGTATCTCCAATTTACTCATCTTCCAATTCCTCAAACGGCGCCCAGTATCTGTCTCGGTGAGTCCGTCGTACACAACTATCCAAGCTTATGTACTAGGCTGTTTGTTCCATACTTATCCTGCTTTGGTACTGCGTGACGAAGCCCTAGATTGGATGAACCAAGTGTTCTCGTCACCCGACATGGATAACCGGGCTCGACTTCTGGGCGTGATACATGATTTCCTATCGTCTGAAGTGGAGAAGAAAACAGCTGGTCAAGGAAACAAAGATCTCACAGCGTTGATAGGAAGTGCTACAGATCTTTCTGAGTCAGGGTGAGTGCATAGGCAAGATACGACATTCAGTGAGATAAACTGATGATTACAGTGTTTCGACAGCAGTCTTACAACGTAATATTGAACATATCCTCTCAGGAGCGAAATCTCAACATCCCCCCACTCAGAACTCTGCTTTGGACGTATTGGCATTCACAGTTAATCAAGGGCTATATCATCCCCTTCAGGTAAGCATCTCGCTTAAACTTGATCTCATCAAGCTTATGTGAAAGTGTTTACCCATCCTCATCTCCCTAGAAACTTCCATAGAGCCTAACGTAGCCGACCGCGCACTCGACCTCCATGCTACACTTCACCAGAAACATTCAACATTGGTCAATGTCAGATATCTGGATTTCGCAAAGGAATCATATGACTATCAAAGGTCTATGTCGTCTGAAGTATGTGGACATCGGAATGGGGTGGCATTGTTGGCTCCGTGGTTTGGGTTGGTGAGTGAGAAAAGAGCATGGAGATTAGATTTTGTCAAGTCTTTGTGTCGCGCTTTTGATTATGATCTTTCTAGGCGAGATCCGGTGGGTCTTTCTAGTCGTTTCAAGTTCTCTCTTCCCCTTACACCTCTTCTTCTCTCATCATCTGATTCATCTCTCACTCCGTAATTGTCGACTCTTTTACACTTTGACTTTGCTCCACCCACTCTCTCCCCATGCCGGTCTTGATCGACGCCCAGCTCGCGAGTTCTTGATAAAGCTCACCTTCCAGCCTGACGTCGGTTTCATCCTTTACATCTCGGAGAACCTCGCTACATTGGAATACAAACTCCAAGAAGAAATAATCACGATCATCCAATCTCTTTCAAATATAATTTCCACTTCTCATAATCTATCTGAATTACTAGAATCTGGTCAACTAGACCCATCTTCGTCTCCCATCGAAGAGATCTCAAACAAAGAATGGGTATCAGAAGTAGGGGAAAGAAACCCCGCTGGCGTCATCATCGATTGTAGCATAGTGGTTTCTTTAGCCATCATGACCAAGAACCATCTGCTTGATTTGTATTCATTAGCAGAAGACAAATGTTTGAAACATACTTTAGGTAAGAAGACTGCTTTGGGTGATAAACCCGCGATTAAGAAAGGTCCTACGGGTTTGGATCTGAGTGTAGATCCTCTGGTCAGGGGAGTCGGTACGGTTGAAGAATTTGAAATGCAGCGTCAAACTGTGAGTTTCAATCTCCACCTCTTCACCTTGTATACATGAATCTTGATTCCTCCGAATAATCTGAATAGAAATTGACGGGACAGTTTATGAGACTGGTCCGAGATGAAGGTTTGGAAGATCTTTAAACGAAATTAACGTGATGATACAGTTGGGGTATCCTCTGAAGTGGAAACAAGTAATTTTTGTACAACACATTCATCTCATTTCATGTTGTAAATATCATCATGGACAAATTATATGCATTTTGACAAATGAAGTCGTTTTACAGAACAGCTCAGGTTACACATCATTATAGGCTGAAGACAATAATGCAATAATGCAATGCATATCATTAATATCATACACTTGAGGTTCGTATGATGCAAGTCAATTGTTCGTGAGACGGTATGTCTTTCGTGGATCTGGGAAATGTGGAAAGGGGTGAAAGTAGACGTGGGAAGTGGGATTTGGAAATGGGATGTAGGAGATCATGATTCAGAAAGTATCTTATCGATATTCTCATTGATCCATGCAGCTCTTTGTTGAAGGTTGGCATTGGGGAATAAACCAAAGATTGTTTCTCGAGTTTGACGTTTCGTTCTGATGGTCAGTCGTCATTCTGTTCACATTGGTCCAATCTCCATATTCTACCTCTACCTCTCCCACTCACCACCTTCTCGTCCAACAATTTTGGATCCCATATCTAGTCATTCTCGAGTTTCCTCGCTGTGCTTTGAAAATACGTGAATAAGGTTGGTGAAAGACGAAACGACAGACCGTCAACGAAGGATCAAAGGGTAATGAGAGGAACGTGAATGGAATGAATACAACGAACAACTCACATATTCATCAAATCTTGTGTTGCGAGATACCTCCTCAACACTCCTAAAACTTCTTCATCACTCGGATTCTCTTCTTCATTGGGCGTAGGAGCAGCAACAGCTTCTGTAGCTAAAGAAAAACTTGACATTCTATTTTGTTGTTGAGGTGGTATACCTAAACTCATCATAGAGTTCCTAGGTGCCATTCCCATTCCCATTGCCATTCCCATACCTCCCATCCCTGGTGTTCCTCCCATTCCTGGTGTCCCTCCCATAGGCATAGGATAAGGTGGATAAACTTGAGGGAAACCATAAGGTAAATGTGGATTAGAATCAAAAGGGTTCATAGGTCCTGACATTCCCGTGTGCATAGGTAAGATAGGTCCTGACATTCCCGTATGCATAGGTTGTAAACCCATCGAGCCTGACATTCCCGTATGCATGGGTTGAAGATAACCTTGTGTTGGTGGACCAGGTGGACCGTATGCTGACCCAGCACCCCACATGCTTAATCCCGCCATGGATACGGGTCTGGAAGGATCGCCAGCACCGAGGGGAGAATGTCTCATGGAAGGATAAGAATTTTGGTTTCGGAGATTGAGGGATGAATGTGAAGGACCGAGAGGAGAGGCATCACGCCAGTAATCGGCTCCGGGAGGAAGGTCGCTGTGAACCGATTCAGCTCGGGCGGAAGGTCTGTAGCGCTGGTTTGAAGGACGGGAGAAGGAAGTGTGAGATGTTTCGCGGGATTTTTCAGAATGAAGAGAAGTTGTCTCCCATGCGTTGGCTTCGTATTCTGGCAGATCAGCTTGTGTGGAATAACGTACCACCACTCCCGGGTAGTAGAAGAGAACCGTCACCCTCTCGAGCGAGCACGATGTGCACGGAAGTCTCAGAGGGGACAAGGACACCAACTTGGCAGTCATTAGATTTGAAGAGATATGGGTAGGGGTGAAGGACAGGTAGTGAAGCGTAAGGGCGGAGGAAACGAAGCTCGCCTTTAAAGGTCCTATACGGGATCATGGAATCATGGAAAGGCTCATCGTCTTCATAAACCACCGTCTTCTGATTGCCCTCACCAACGACTTGACTAATTCATCAGCTTTATACTCATCCAATCATCTCATTCGAGACTGACCGGGTATTCCCCCAGCTAAAGTCATCCATTGACCAGAAAGAATAGATCGGTAGGAAGAGAGAGTAGATTGGGAATCTGAACGTCAGTTGCGCAACATGCGAACAATCCTGATTTACTTACGCTAGGAGGTACACCACTAACCAACCTATGAGCATGAATTCCCGTTTCAAGATGAAGATGATCGCCTAGCTGTCAGCCGTACTTGCGATGAGATAAAAATGGGAACACACTTGTAAACCGTAAGTCGCGCCAATCATAGCGAGTGAAATGACCGGGATGGCGGCTTTGCCTGTTGACACCACGACAATCAAGTAGATGAGCTAGTTCATCAGTATGACAAACGTAAAAAGGGTGTGAGTACTGACATAGACGCAAGTGGCTGGCAAGATCTGATATGGTCAGCAGAGTTCATGAAGACATTCGAGAAAGGTAGAAGAAGACTCACGACGGTACCCAGTAAATCCAAGAAGACGACCCATCGCATACTCAAACAACACACCCCGCACATGTCGCGCAACATCAACAACTCCACCAAGTTATGTACGGTAGAATTGATCCATCTTCTTCTCTGACTGAGCAAAACATTCCATTTGCTGGGTGCCACGGTGTGCGCCACAGCATCCGGTGTGAATTTGAGTCTGTAGTCTGAGAAATGCTTCATCATCAAAGTTGTCAGGTATCGATCTTCTCCCAAAGAGAAGAGGTTTTTCTTATGTAAAGTATCGACATTTGGTTCGGCGTACTCGTCAATGACAATGGAAGAAATGATCACAGGTCGACCTTTATCCGCTGTCCTGATACGATAAACGGAGAAACACCCAGGCAAACAAGTGACAGCCCCGAAGAGGGATTCGAAAGCTTTGGTGAGATGGTGAGAGATGTAATATTCGTACACCTGGATCATGGTAGTCAATGATTCTCGCTCATTTGCGACTTTGGTTTCTCCGCATATACCGATGATACGTGAGTCGTCCGCTGCACAGGAAATAAGACGATTCAGGGATTCGGGAGTGACGGTGGTATCGGCGTCGACTTGGAAGATGTATTCGTAGAATGTGGGATCGACTCCGATGACGTTACGCATCTGATGGTAGATTTCGAGCTCGAGGGGTGACATGGGGGCGTCAAAATGGACGCGATTGAGATACTGCAGGAGCAATACTTGAGAGTCTCTTTTGCCTCTGTTGCCGGGTTTGGAAGTCTCCGTAGGTTTACCGACCTTGACGACGACGACGTAGCTGGAGGGTCAGTTCAGGTCATAGCTCTCCCCAAAGCTTAACACGTCGAAGGAGGAGCCTACTGTAATAGGCAAGGAGAGATGGACAGTAAGATTGTGTGAAGAGAGAGAGAGCGGTAGGTATTTCTGAGCAATGGCGGAAGTCGAAGAGGGAGACATGATCATAGGACAAAGTAAGCCCGACGTACGGCACCACATGACTCTCATACTCATACAGTCCCGAGTACACTTTGGCATAATTCAGCTGTTTACTCCCGTCTCCGATACTCTTGAATAACAGCGGCTCCGGGTCCAACTTGGGGTCCACACCAAGGATGTCGAGCACTATTCGTGGCGTCGAGCGATTGTTACCACTCCCGATAATGTTACCATCGCAGATGATGAAGATCAATTTCCGCTTGTCGTCGTATTTTAACTCTGCGAGCGAGTCAATGGTCTTCTTCAAGGATTCTTCGCCTTCGGTGTAACACGGCACTTGGCAAATGACGAATTTGTCGAGTTGCTCAGGGTACCGTTTGGAGCCTAATTGCAGAGCGGCCAAGACTAAGAGTTAACGAGTTATTCTATGTCTAATGCTCTAAGCGGGGAAAGGGAGAGCGAAGAGCATTTTTGAAGGAAGTAATGGACATTATCACCCACATTTGGACGCTATGGTAGCCATCAGGACGATCGAAAATGCCAATAGTAGATAATTTTGTACCGTGCACCGGGGTGTTTTCCGGAAATCTAACTCGCCGACGTAGAACGCATTATCCAGGCAGTTCAAGGTATTCGTGGCGTTCTCGGGTGATAGCCCGGCCAGAACTTTTTGCATCTGTTTTGTGATGTCTTGACCGGAAGACTGTGAGAATAGAGAAGAAATGTCACTGTCAAGGAAACCGTAATTGGGAAGGTCTGTACCTGAGGATCCAGAGTAATATGAGACCGTGTAGAGGTAATCTGAAAGGTCGTAAACTTTCTTATTGTAGATGGCCCATTGTCTGATGGTCAGCTACCCGTCACCGCCCAGCTTTATAGAGGGACATGTCGGAAAGCGTCCAGGAGGTAGAAAGTGATGCGACTGAGACATGCGATGAAACAAATGCTGTCTGAACTACTGACAGAAGCGAGTCTTGGCAGGGAATGCGTCATCCCGCAATGTCACAATTGAGTAGAGTGGAGTGATTTAGATATTGATCTCAATAACTCACCTCGCATCATTATCCGCTGCGTCCTGAACCACACCTTTGGTATACACAAAGGTTCCTTTGTAGTACTGCTGTAAAGCTGGCTGCAGAGTACTGGGATACCAATCTGAATTATCCAACTTGGTTCCCGTGATCGTCTGTAGATGTCCAGAAGTGTGCACGGCGTATGCGACGATAGGGGTAAAGTTTGCACGCATGAGAGAGAGGTTGTCATCGGTGACCAGACCGGGACAGGCGTAGGTCATAGGTGGAGGGAAATAATTGGTCAAGTCCTGTCCTGCAAATTCGAGCATGACATCGGCTGTGGTAGGGTATGCTGAGATATCTGAATGTTGACCTTTGTAAAAGCTCGTGAACTGATATCAGTACTTTGCCTCAACATCGCAGGTCATTCATCGGACGCTGAGTGATCAACATGAGAACGGTGAGAATGAAGAAGGTGAGCGATGATGAGGGGAGTGGATCGACTCACATCGTAAACTTTGCCTGCTATGGCAGCATAATAATCGTTCGTTCCTGTATGTTCCCCCAGTTCTGTCGGATTCCAAGCTTTGTCCATATCAGGACATAACAATCTTCCAAAGACGATGATGTAGAATACGACGACACCACACATGAAAGCGATCATGATACAAATAGCTACTTTTTCTCTCCATGCCATTCTCACATCTGCTCTCTCCATCCGACCTAATTTACGAAGGAGGAAAGAAGGTATCCACCAAGTCAAAGCCCAAGTGATACGTATCCATATTCTTCTAGCTTTGGTAGTGGCCACTACTTCTGTTGCGTGATGCTTGCGCTCTGTGACGATCATGGTGTCGGTCTCCATCTTGCCGATATCTTTTCTTTAAGATTGAATGAAGGAGATCCGCCTTGACCTAGATCGGTCAAAGTGGTGACGAGCTCACACAATGACGACGGAATGGATGGAGGATGCACCAGATTGGGAGGAGGTCGAACAGAGTGGTGGTGAGACATGGTTCACAAACTTCTGAAACGCACCCAAAGGGAATGCCACATCACCCTCGTCCCCCCCAGCACAGCCTCCCCATCCAATGTTTCCATCCTCGCGTGGTACGATGCGGACATGCCGTTATGCCTTTGACTTTTCGGCTTTGGTCATCGTGTCAGTCGGGCAGTCTTCCCTTGTAACTCTGGTTGATATGAAGGGCGTACATGTCGGAGGAAGAGACCAATGAACATGATCTAGTGCTGAAGTGACCACAATGAGTTGTCCGAAGTCAGTAGAAGCAAGCTGAAACCTGAACGCGTCATAGAGTACCTCTCCTCCCTGGCCCCTGCGTGGCGTGTGGCGTGTGGCATGTGGCACCCCGGGACCAGTCCCAAAGTGCCACAATTCAGTTTTTAATTCTTCCAGCAGGAAACCGTGCCTCAGTTGGGATTCAGGGAATGATGTCATCGCCTCTTTCCTGCGGCTCTGCGGGCGGTGCTCTCCACTCCAACTCGTCTTGTTAGAAGGGGATGACGGGAGGAATGTATTAATGTGAGCGAGTTGTCAAAAAGACGCAGCGGGCTGTGCTCCACAGCACCGACACTTCGAGACATATAATTCTCGTTCATTCCTCTTCTCGCTGATCTGACTTGTACCATCTACTAACTATTGGTGTTTCTCACCATCTGATTTTGCGCCATCGAACATACCCCACTCGACGTGAATCCTTTGTGTGACCATACGTGTTTGGTCAGTCGGAGTTCTAAAAAATTTCAATGACCGCTGACATGATAGATATAATTGTTTTCTTTGCCTCTGCAGCTTCTCTACCTGTCACAACTCGGACAATTTTCTGACAACATGGCTGTTGGATATTTTCTCTCTTGCTTCTTGCTCTTTGCAGCTACCGTCCTATTGCTCATTGCCACCAGTGAGTCCATCATCCTCAGGAAGATAGAAGAGATGGCTGATCGTCAGTCTCCGCACCGATATGGGACAAAGTAGCTTTTATGAATGTTCAGAATAATGGCGCTAAGATCGCTTTTGGTACTTTTGGATACTGTCAATCAGGCGTGAGTGTCATTCGTCAGCTCTGGATTTCCACATTCCACCTGACTCGAGAGTTGCTGTTCCCCAGCGGAGATGGATCATGAAATGTTAAAAGCTGGATCAAAAGGCTGACTTTGTAGGGTTCTAACAATGGCTGTTCCGATACTGCTTTAGGGTACAATATCGCCGCTTTATCTGGAGCCGTGACCGACTGGACTTACGTTAACAACCATCTGGAGACTGTTACAAAAGCTCTTATTCTCCATCCTATTGCTTGTGGTAAGTTCACGTTACCATTATCACTCGAAACTACCCCCAGCTAGACTGTCCCTCTCTTTCATCCCTCCTCTCAAAACCGTTCATCGGGCCGTGCTGATCTTCTAGGTATCTCCGGAATCGCATTCCTTATCGCCCTCGTCTCCCACAGAATCGGTTTCTTATTCTCTTCCTTGGTCGCCTTTTTGGCTTTCATCGTCTCCCTCGCTGTGATGATTATCGACTTTGTTCTGTTCGGTATCATCCGTCATGAGATTCGCGACAACAGCTCTGGTACAGCCAATTATTCGACTGCCATCTGGCTCGTTTTGGCAGCTACGGTGATCTTGTTTTTCGCCACTTTCGTTGTACTCTTTGAATGTTGTGCCGGTCGCTCGAGAGATCGTAAATACGCTTCGACCGGATATGCGGAACCACAGATGGCTCCTGCTACGGGGTATGGTAGGACTTGGTACGGTAGGAAAAGGTATTATTAGATAGATTGTGTGTAGGATATAATTGGGGAATGTATGCAGATATGTAGCCTACTCTACTAGACAAAATCAGATAATCCAAGCTACTAATACTTACATGTACGCTGAGAAGTGCAAGTTTGGCCTACGGAATGTCAGCCAGGTGATATATGCCAATGAGGGCCAAGCAGCTAGCACCATGGTACCAGTGCACCATGCACCAAGCCACCCGAAATTACAGCGAGGAACAATCGCGACGCGACATTGAAAATCAACTCAATTTAACCATCGATCTCCCTGTTTACTCTACCATTCTCTTCTCTTCCCTTCTTTGTACACATAATATCCATAAGGAGTAACACTCACAGTAGTGTCAAGATTAGGAAATGGAGATATGCCTCCATCACCAGGAAAGATACATTCCTTACCTGGTCCGTCCAGTTGCTTCTTACCCCATTCAACCTCCAGCTATTCGTACCACTTGAACCCGTCAGCCATATAATAAGCTGATGTAATAGTCAAGGTTTTGTATCATCTGGATTCATCACCTCAATCATACCTAACAATATTGTCAGAACGACAGTCAGTATATATATACCCGTCTCCTACCTCACACGGTAGCTCGACCAACATCAACGGTTCTGGTTCAGAGGAGAAATCATGTCAGTCGGGTGTTTGTTACCTCAATCCTGTCGCTAGGGGGATATGTTATTCCAGGTTTGTTTCTTTCTTTCTTTTCGTCATGTTCTTCCATTTCCTATCTTTTCTTTCTCTTTCGTACTCCATCACTCTCACTCTCTCTCACTTCCCTTCACTCATTTACACCTCATCCCTCTCTTCAAGTCGATTCCTTCTCTCCTACACATATCTGTTACTTCCGCTACCTCAAGTATGACATTCTTCAAAGACCTCAAGAAGCTCTCATCCTGTTCGACTGACAATCAGTCCGGAATGTATCCCCCAATCCGGCTCACTCGATTTCTCAGTATACTACCTCGACCCATCACCTCGTAAAACGAGAGGGGCATTCACCGATCAAACTTCCGAAGGAACATGGACCGGTAGAGGTTTCCTTTCCTGGGCACTATCAGAAACAGATCCTAAAACTTACATCAAAGGTCGGTTGGTACACGATAGGGAATTTTCCAATTTCACGGATGATAATGGTTTAGAAGGGTTGATGGAGGCTGCATCAAGAACACAAGATCAAGATCCAAATTCAGGTTGGGGTTTAGAGGTTTGTTTAACTTTAAGACAAGTGAATCCTGAGAATAAACTTGCTTTTTCGGGAAGACAACAATTTGTGGATATGTTGAGTGGTCTGACTGGATCTGGAGTTTCTTCAAATTCGTCAAATGTATCGAACATATCGACTACGATTCCTATTTCGAATATAGGTGCTGTATCGACAAACGCTCCTACAATCTCTAGAGGGACAGCGTCGACCAGTAATTCAAATGCTTCCTCGAATATGGCCAATCCTACCAGCTCGACAAGTCATATGAATGGATCAAATGGTACAATGACCAATTCGACATTACCTACAGTTCCCCAAAGACCATTATCTCAAACAACTGTCTTGTCAGGTCCAAAACCCATATCTTCACGTCCTTCACCAATCACGAATCATTCTACACCTAAGACTAATTCTTCTTCCACTCCCACACCCATATTACAACCCTTAGACGTACGACAACCTCCACAACAAAGTCAATCACAATCACAATCGCAACCGAACTCTCGAGCAGCTTCAACATCACAACTCCCTCAACCTCGACCACAATCCTCCTTTACCGAACCTCAACAACCTTCTCAAGCTCAACCACCATCCCGCACAGCTAGAATGATCACTCCCCCACCTCAACCTCGACCACATTCTCCTCCCCCTTCCACACCATCCCGAGCGACACTCCGTGCCCTGCTAAATGCGGAAGGTACCATGTCCCCAGAATTGGCGAAACGACTGGCCAACAATCCCGTCTTGGTGAGATTGATGAAGGCCGTACCTTCTGGAGCTTTCAAACCTGCCCCATTACCTTTCCCAACTCGTGAACATCACATGAACACCGCCAGTGGAAGTGGCAGTGGTCATGTGGGACCGGAACTCAGCAAACCCAGCCCATTAGATACGGCCACGCCAGGGAGTGTAGGAGGAAAAGAGGGATGTAGTAATTGTGGAGCTACCGAATCGGACGTATGGAGAACTAGGGTTGCGAAAGATGGGACGAAGAGGAGGGTGTGTAACTGTGAGTCCCTACTGGTGTATTTGTTCCTCGTGACTTCCTTGCTCCATCCTCGTCTTTTCGCCATAAAACAACCCGATTTTTGCCCCCACCAGTCTCCCATCACCTTTGCGTTATTCTTCTACTCAATGGCGGAGTCGTCTCCCAAATGATCGGTCTAACGCTCATGATAAGCCTGCGGGACGTATTACAACAAGAACAAACGTATGCGTCCTCCAGAACTATGGTCCAATCCATCCATCGAACCCCACCCCACAAACACTTCAAACTCTACCAAAGCAGACAAAATGTCAGTGACGACACCCACCCACTCTCAAAGCTCCCATCTTCCACCTCTCGCCCATCCCCTTTCACCTACTCCCGGTATCCGTAGTAGTCCCCGACTCCATCGGACGCCAGATACGAAACAAGATTCTCCTCGTAAACGCGCCAAGAGTAGAGTTGCACCTTCACCAAGAATGATGACTCGAGCAGCTTCCAGAGTTCACGAAGGTGTAGATGAATCTACCTTACTCGACATTCCTGGACATTCTGGATCTAATGGGAATAACGCAGGTGCTGGGAATGGAATAGGAGATTTAGGTTTTTCACCTTCGACGATGTTCGCCACTTCTCCCATTGTCCCTACGCAATCTGGAGCAGCTTCTGCTGTAGTTGAAGGTGAGGGAAGTGGAGAGGTGGATTTGGAACAATTGTTGAATAGCTTCACTAATGTTCCTGAAGGGGAATTGGACTTAGCGGGTTTGTTCAATATGGGTGAAGGGGAAATAGGACAAGATCTCACTGATTTTCTTGCAGCTTGGGAGGCGCAAGCACAGACGCAGGGTGCTGCTGAAGCTGACCCGTGAGGAAAAAGATCACTGTAGCTTCAAAGTGTTTAAAAAGTTTAGAGAGTAAGGTGTAATGAATTGATATGATATGATGTAATGTCATGCATGACCTTCCAGACGTTCTCATGATAGTCTCACGATCAGTGAGGCAAATGTGTTTTCAAGGATGATGATGTATAAGATCTCACGTCATATCGAGCAATAGCAATAGATAGATACAGATACACACCAGATGATAATCCTCGCTTTCAAACCCAACAACCCCCCCCCCCCCCCCACCCCCTCATCTTCCATCGTGATGAGCGAGGGAGATGTTGCCATATGCGATTACTTACTCCTATCAAATCTAATCTTTCTTCGTCATCTGTCCCCAACCTGAATCTTGCGTACGAAGCATCTTCAAAGCTCTCTGTTCTCTCCTAACATTCCTAGGACTACGTCCTTTTACTCTCTCCATCCCTTCTTCTTTCTTCATTCTCTTCCTCCTTCGTTTCTCCCTTAATTCCTCTTTAGACAATTTCGTCTTTGCAGGTCGATTTTTTTCTCTTTCAAGTTTCTTTTGTAATTTAACTTCTTTTCGTTTTCTTTTCTCCTCTCTTTTAGTCGCTAAACGTAATTTTCTTGCTTCTCGAATAGCTTTAAGAGATTCAGGATCAATGATTTTCTGTGCTGGATTACGCCATGGTTTCAAAGGTTTCAGACCGTCCGCCTGTTTTTCAGTCCTAAACACTTCCCTTTCACAAGTTGTAAGAAAAAGTGTTGAGTAGTATGACTCAAAAGAGTTGAGACCGAAACGATAAAGTTAAAGAATCGGACTAACCATTTTTTCTCCCCGTATACCTCGTTGGATTTCTTCTACGATTTCACGCGGATCTTGGGTTTGAAAAGATTCTATTCTTGGACTTTTGATTATTTTGTTCCAACGTTTCATAGCTCTTGTATGTCCCTAATTCATCAACACTCTACTCGTGGATGTCTTGATAAATGAAACAGGAGATGTCTGAGGAAGGAAAACGAATAAGAATGTATGGTTGGTGGAGAAAAATCGTACGACTAACCCCAGATTTGAGATGAAGAGTTATCATTTTCTCATTCTTTAATGCTTTTCCTGGACATACCACACAGGATTTTCGACCGAGTTCGTCGTCATACAAGGGATCTTTGGCAACATCATCAATGGACATTGAAAAACCTGCGAGTCAGCCTAGCAATTTCGTAGTAGGCTACACTCACCATCACCATCTTCAGATCCATTTTTCTCCCCCTCCTCCTCATCAACATCTTCTTCTTCTTCTTCTTGTGAGTCTGAATCCGATTCTGAGTCACTTTCCGAGTCCGATGAAAAAGATTTTGAACCTTCTCTTCTTTTCCTCTTCTCCCCGATTTTCTGTTCTTCTTTCTTTACGACGTTTTCCTCGACCTCCCCTACTTTTTGCTCTACTAAATCCTTCTCTTCCCCTTCCCTTTCTTCTTCTTCGGAATCATCATCACCAGAGTTGTCTTCATTATCTTCACTGTCGGATGTGTCGGTGGATGATGAAGCCGAGGAAGAGCTCGATTCATCCTCGCCTAACTCTTCCTTTACCAAAGCTCTCAATTGTGTTAAACCCGAAGCATCTTCTTTCTCCTTTTTCGCCAACCTCTTCTCTACTTTCTTATATACTGGCATTGTTTCAATCACTGTGACTTTCTTGGCAACAAGTGAGAAGTGGGGCAAAAATCTAAATTTTCATGTCCGTCAGGCACGGATATGACGTGTGATAAAACCTGTCCCCCCCATTCCAACAACTCACCTTCAACCATTTGACTCTGTCGCTTACAATGTCCCCATCTCTGAGAGGATCTTTCCTCTCACAGCTATGCGCTAGAAGCAGTCTTTGATCATCATTTCATTCTTCGTGTATCCAAAAGAAGGGAAATGACACCGCGACCTCCCGGTCAGATGTTGAAGATACAAACACCCTCTTTCTCCCATCATGGTGTCGCTTGGTCTCCATACTTTGAAGATAAAATCGCAGTGGCGAGCGGTACGAATTTCGGTTTGGTAGGTAATGGTAGATTACATATCCTTCAATTGGCTCCTCAGGGATTATCAGTATTCAAAACGTGAGTCAAATTCATACGGAAGTTTCTTAGGAACAAGCTAAAGAGTCAGGTTTGACACTCAGGATTGTGTCTACGATGTCGCATGGCATGAATCTCACGAGTGAGTCTTTCACCGTTGTTCCATTGTATCTTATCGAAAGAAAGAAATCATGCTGGTGGAAGAAAGAGATTACGACCAGAGGAGTCGGAACTGATGCACAGAAATCAGGTCATTGCGGCTTGTGGGAACGGTTCACTTAGATTATTTGACATTTCACTCGAAGGTCTTCCAGTAAAAGGCTGGAACGAACATTCAGCGGAGGTCGTACATGTTGAATGGAACAATTTACAAAAAGAGACATTCGTCACTGCTTCATGGGATCAGACCGTTAAAATTGTGAGAGCTCCGCTCCATCCCTCGACAATTTTTCATTCTCATGTGAACGAACCCCTTGTATTTGATCGTATGAACAGCAGAAAGCAGAAATTCTGACATTGATAGTTCTCAGTAGACCGAACCACCTCCTTACTCTCTATCCCAGCTCATAATGCTCAAATATACACTGCAACCTGGTCCCCTCACACTCCCTCCATGCTTGCAACCTGTGCGGCCGATGGTCTGGTCAAAGTTTTCGACATTCGGAATCGTGATCCTACACGTCCAGTGCAGATATTTCAAGTAGCTCCGGAGGAAGTGTTAAGTTGTGATTGGAACAAGTACGACCTGAGTACTTTGGCAACCGGGGGAAAAGATAAGAGTGTACGGATATGGGATATGAGAGGTGGGAGAACTGAATGTGTAGGAGATCTTCAGGGACATAGCTTGGCAGTGAGGAAAGTTCAGTGAGTGTCAATAATCGCATTCTCACCAATACCTTCGTCCCCAGTTATGCACGTGTATAGAAGTTATTGGAAGTGTCAGATACGGGCAATAGTATGGAAGTAGCTAACATTAGATGGTCTCCTCACGACAGGAACGTTCTAGCCTCAACATCATATGACACGACCTGTAGAATGTACGTTCTTTGTCTCCCAAAGCTTATCGCTGATTACAGATGGGGTATCAATCCTTCCATCACGAGACAAGTTCACGACTTACATACCGAATTCTGTATGGGAGTAGCATGGGCTCTTTTTGACCCAGGTTTGATCGCCACGTGCGGTTGGGACCAAGAGGTGCATCTGTTTCGAGCATAACACTGTAGGCATCACATCCAAAACTTCCTGTTAGGTGTGACTGATCAGCAGATATTGTATTTACTGCTTAATGACACGTATAATGACATCTTCTCACCCGATGCCTCCTCGCCAGCTTTGTTCCGACTCCGATCCCGGTGTACAAAGGAAGGCGGGAAGGACTATTACGCGTCATTCAGCTCTCCCCTCCGTGTCAAGGAAACATGTGACAACTCCGCTTGACAGCTTCTATCGTTTTCCTCTTGCTCTGAAAAGTATTTATTATCCTCCTTTCGAAATCTGACGCCCTCTGTCCATAGTTCTCCTCTCATTTCCGCTCATCACTCGAAATCACCCTAAGACCAACTCTTGAACACCTCTCTTCATTTGACTAACATACCTAACGTCGTAATGTCATTCCCGTCTGAGGATACTCTGGAGCTTCAGGCAGACCAAGCTATCCTGATCACGGTGAGTCAACTCCCTTTGGTCGGACTGTAACAGGAGAGAACAAGCTGGCTTACACAATCAGGCGAAAGCTACATATAATAATGACCAAAGATCGACATTGGCCAAAGTATATTACTTATCTGCCGAAGGAAACCCTGCTTCTTATACCTTACCAATGAAATACCTCTCCGAAGACATGTCCGTACCCAATTTCGGATTCTTTCCTGATGAGCGCCCCATTAACCTGAGTGCGAAGGCATGGGAATTTGTCATTTCAGATGTTATCGCGGAGATTTACGGGTACGTGTTTTCGCTTGTCATTCTTCATAGGCTTCACGACTCAGCGATTACACATCTCATCTGTCTAATATCCTCTATTTTCGATATTCTTGCAGTTTGAGTGTGGACTGCTGGAACATATATCCGTCCTGGTCATGTGAACAAGCAAAGATGGGGAGTGGAAGGCTGGGGTGAAAGTGACCAGAGGAGAATTAGCGGGACGCTAACAGAATAGTCGGGCGCCACGTTCAAATGCTGATTCGTTCCTACTCGCCTCAGCCGCCGTCAACGATGAACCATGCTCCGATCTGTCTTTGGGACTAGGGACAGCATACAATCAATGGGTGAAACTCCCTAAACTCGGGAGAACTTTACGACGTCTCACATCACAATCTCCCGGAGACTCCATCACGCGGTCCGGTGCGTGCCAATAGTCACTCAAGAGGTCAGCTTTCTGGGATGAATTCATCGAGAGACAGAGGAGGTCTGAGTGGGTCATACACATTCCCTATCCACAATGCTGGCTCTTCGAGAGGCTCAAATGTCATCAGGAATAACACTCGTATAGGCGGTCGTGGAAGAACAAGCACGTTTCTTGGTCAAAGACAGCCGGGAAGGAATGCCCCTGATCTCTCTGGACTCATGGGACAAACATGGTTCTCCAGAACCTCGGATGAGGCTCAAATGGAGGATGGAAGAAAACGTGGAGTTAAGTTGAAGGTCAGGTATTTCCCTACGGATGGAGAAGCTCGGGGGAGTAATCTCGATTTGGGGGTTGTGTATGGGCAACAGGAATTAGTGTCTGTTGAAGTGCTCACGAGATTAGCTCTGCAAAAGTGAGATTCAGGTTCATGGTAACCAGAGCTCCTCTTGCTGATACTTGATTGCGAACCTTATGAAGAAAAGTACATTCATGTGATGCAAATAGACATGATTAACATAATCGGACGTGATGATAGCAATTCAGTAGATACCAAATTTCTACATGAATTCATGAGGTAAAACGTGCATCATCAACTGTGGACAATAATCTAATAACCAACACTTTTCAAATAGTCGGCTAATTTGGCAACGACAACATTTGCATCTCCCGCTTGGATCGGTGCGTCGTACTGAATCATCAGCCAATGCTTTTCACAAGACACTTGACATACCTCGGCAACGAGGATAGCCTGTTTTGTAGGGATGACAAAAACGCCTCGTTCCTTTTCGTCAGCATCTCCATGATAGCATACGTTCTTTCAGAATTGACATACGCCTTTCCTACCAATGACCTCATCTGTATCAGCTCGAACTACCATGAATTTGAACCCGGAGAGAATGAGGCCGTTTCCTATTTGTCAGCGGGAATGACTCTACACCGCTTGAATGTCCAAATGATTGGTTGAGTGAAGATACGAAGGTGATGGGGCTTACCTCGGACTTCATCAGGAGCGGTAAATGCAGTTTTGACAATTACGTCTTGTTCTTTCCCCGAGAGCTGTAGGTCAGTCATGGTTCCATCCATGAATTTGTTGTAAATTCAACACCATAGCGATTCTTTCCAGAACTAGTGACTAGTTTCATTTCATTACACCACCCCAATAGATGGATATGCAAGAAGTTTGATGAGACGGATAGATGGACAGAGATAAGTACGGGTACGATAACCAAAGAAATAAGATAATTATCGAATTCGATTGAAGAGTCAAGAAACCAAACTTACATTGTATCCCGCGCTCGAGGCCCATATCCCACCTTGCTTACCCAAAATAGCAGCTTTGGTGACTTTCCCAGTGGCTAGTAGTTGATCGTCGACGTATGCTATTCGTCAGCGATACGTACCGTTAAACTCCAGTCGTTAGGGTAAGAAAAAGGAATTCGAGTCGCAAGGACAGATGAGGTGAGATGGTACGAGTTTGAATGGGGATTATGACGCATGTTTTCTACCGACGACATCAATAGTATCGAGTGAACAACATACCTTGCCAAGACATGTTGATTAGTCGAGAAATGAACTGATGAGATGTTGATATATATGTGGAATGATGAAGAAACGGGGTTCAAAGTTGTGACAGGTGGAATGGGAAGAAGGAAATGACGAAGGTGGCACCTATCTCATACATATCTTCCTTTGTGGCATTTCTCTTCTCTCGCTGATCTTTCCACCCATTCCTTGGGCGGAATTATGGTAGCAATGTGATGCAAGTGAGTAAGACTGACTCGTATCTTCTGAAATAGTAGGTTAGTGATGGAATGGGCGAGTTTTGGATCACGGACAGAGTGACAACCAAAAACCCATGTTGCATAATAACATCTTTCTTATCTCGACACCATTTGATCATTCCGACCTGCCTTAATTCCTCACTAGACTACGAGATATTCCACTGTATTCTCATACCTTACTATAGTATCTACAGTATTTCAGGATTCCCAAAAGAAAACTTTCTCCCTTAAACGTGCTCAGCTTCGTACCTCGCCTCCTCCAATTTCTCTTCCCCGTGTACGGAAGATTTGTCCTGAAGAGCAGGAGCGATATGAGCGTCCGCTCCATCGAACAAAACAGCAATGTCTTCGAGGGTGAGACCCTGAAATGAATCAGCTATAAATATTCCAAATGAAGTGATATGTGCTTACCTTCGTCTCCATGATCAAAAAGTAGGCAATGACGGTTTGTATGACGAGCAAGCCAGCAAACATGCAATAGTACCTCCAACCGATAGCTTCGAGTGCAACAGGGTTGACTAGAGAGTTATACAAAGCCCCGGCGTTGGTCGTGATACCATAAATTGCCATTCCTTTGACACGAAGTTGATAAGGTAAGATTTCCGGAACATCTGTATGTCAATCAATTATCATCACATCTTTGTTCAATTGCACTCACAAGTGTAAGGAAGAGGAAAACCCCAGATGATGAAACAACCGGCGAAAATGAATAAGAAAGCTAGAGCTCCATTGGCAGCACCTAAATTACCGCTAACGACGAAACCAGCCTGAAAGATATAAGCCTTCGCATCGCCTGGTAGAACAAAGAAGACTCACGGTCGTACCTGTGAAGATGGCAAAACTGACAATCGTCGCTACGGATCCCCAGAGTAGTAGTGTTCGTCTACCCAGTCTCTCCAACAGTTGTGCACCGGTCAAAGCACATAGTAGACCCCAGGCTGAATTACCAGCGAGAATAGCTTGAATCTTGAGACTGCTAGTGAAACCGATACTGACGAGGATGACCGGGGTGTAATAAGCTAGCAGATTGTTCTGAACGAGTCAATAACGATGACTAGTACGAATAATAAGGACTCACTCCACTCATCGAAAGAGCCCAAGCGAACCATACAACACTAGCCAAACGTTTTCTATTTCCGGGAGTTTTGAAAAAGTCCATGAATCCGGCAGGGATGACGGATTCTTCCAATTCCACAGCGGCGACAATTTCGTTCAATTCGTTGAGCACGAGTTCGTCATTCTGATCTCCGTTGGCGTGCAGATCGGCCAAAGCCTTGAGAGCATGTTCTCGACGACCTTTCTTGACCAACCAACGAGGAGATTCGACTTGCCAAGTGGTGAGAGTAGAGATAAGGAGAGGGAAACAACCGAGGAATTGAAGGAGAGTCAAAACACGCCAAGACCAGTTGCTATTCCAACTGACGCATCCGTAACCTGCCCAACCGCAGACGAATGAACCTGACATGAGCCTTGATTTCGACGATTAGGGATTCAAACGACTCACCGATGAAATACATCGAGTAGTAACTCCCTTGAGCAGAGTGACGGAAACGAGGATGGGCCACTTCTGCGACGAGCGCAGGCGCAACGGTCATATAAAAGGCGGCTGAGATACTGGGCATATGTTAGTCAGATCGTCATGGTGTTAAAGACATACCCTGTGATGATACGACCAGCGATGAAACTACCAACGCTATCGCCGAAACAAGAGATGATAGGTCCCACAATCTACTCTCTTAGTTGCTATCGTGCAATGGTGAGGAAAACTCACTCCAAGGACGGAGGCAATGAACATGACCGGCTTACGACCATACCTATCGGCGAGGAATGAACCCAAGAAGGGGAATCTACGGACAAGGTTAGTGCGATCAAAACTCATAAGTAAGCAAGTACTCACGGAAGTTGTGCTAAACCCGTCAGCTAGAGAACAAACATAGGACATGAGAAACGCACGGTATAGATACGAAGACGATAAGTTACCGAGAGTAATCCCAGTAGGGTTGTTGAATTTGAGCACCCATGACGGCTGAGCTTGTATACTGGATATCAAAGCACCATCGTACCCATAAGCAAACACTGATCCGTAAAGACAAAAGATGTTAAACATGCAACGTCTGAGACCCGGGTCTCGCCACCAAGAACTAGCGGTGTTGTCTAATCATCAGTCGTGGACACACTGAACGAGGTAAGACAAACTCACTTCTCCATGCCGACCAATGGGGTAGCTGTGCTGCTAGAGCGGCTCGGGACGATGGCGAGGGCATGTTTGTTTTTCACGATATGACCAGAAGGTGAGGGCCAGAATTGAGTGAGTTGAGGATCGGCTTTGGTGAGTCGCCAGACCATCATATATAGGTTGAAGGGAAGGGATCTTTGACAATACAAGACGATGAAAAAACAGAGCGAGGTTGGGCCAGGCGCCCCGCTGTCCCCGCACCGGGGGGGTTAATTGGATAAATACCTGGATAATTGAGGAGGTTAGACGCACGGGGCTGGCCGAAGAGAGCCCCGCGCGCCCTGTGTGGGGAAAACCGCTGAGATCCGCAAGAAGCGGAGGATGTCACCATCAAAGTTGAGGTTTTCCGTTGCAAATTACTGTAGGAAAAAAGAGAGAAGAGACCACGTAGTTCGCGTTTGGGGGCTCCGGGACGGCGACAGGCACATCATCTTAGCCCGGCAACTCTATGCGATGGCTGGCTGATGATCTGATGGATGTCCCGACCGTCGGGCATTCCCTCTCTCTCAAGTCAAGAGGGAGGGAAAGCAATAGTATAGTCGCCACTATCATCAGCTTTCACTAATTCCGTCAGGTTCCGAACTCCACCCAGAGGGAGAGAAGGTAAAGAGTGAGGTATTCAAAGAGATAGAGTCATTATTCTGGTTGTTGAGTTTAACCTCCCGGCCCATTTCCAATGTCAAGCTCTCCCGAGAGGAAAAGTGGTAAGGCGTCAAGTAGTCCGAGTCGGACCAGAGGTCCTGTCAGATCTTTGAAAGCTTGTGATCAGGTAAGCTTCCACGTGATGACATTGAACTTGGCTCACAGTCCAAAAGTGCAACCTTCGAAGGACCAAAGTAAGTTCTTTCAAAGTTTTCTACACGTATTTAATTTCTTACAGTGCAGTGTTTAGTTACTACTACTCGTGATGAAACGGAACGACCTATTTGTGAAAGTTGTAAGGATAGCGGATTAGATTGCACATGGCAACGTGTGAATTATACTCCCGAATCACATCAATAATTTAGATCTAACAATTTCTAGGTTACCCATCGTCGTGGACCAAAGCGGAAAGTATCTCGTCTCGTTTTGGAAAATAATAGTATCAGTCCACATTCTCGATCTATACCTGTTGAAACATCCGATCCACAAACTTGTACCGAATCTGATGTTGAAACATCATGGACTTCACTTCAAAGTCCAGCTGGTCCTTCTTCGTCTATAAGCTCACAACCATCAACATTAATTCCTGCACATGCCGGTCCCAGTCAGGTTCCGACATCTGTGGATTGGACCACGGATTCTTTGATGGGATTTCCTCTTTCATGGCCAGAGTGGACATTTGGGGAATTCACTCCGAGAGGTTCACCAACTCCACATGATCCAGTGCGTCTTTCATGTGATAAAATTCTACTTCACTGACGTATAGTCTACAGGACAAACAGATGGGGATCTCACCAAAGATATCACAGCTTTTTTGGAATCTCATCCGAGGATGCCAGCTCCACAATCGGATACAGTTGGCGTAGAGTCCGTAGTCGATAGCGCTTGTGGTGAGCTTGAACTCTTCGTGATGGACTTTCACTAATCCGATAGAACATTTATCTGATCATCATCTCATCAAGGATCTTCAAATGCCTGAAGTGGATGAACTGGTTCGACAAAAACTTCAAGTTTTCTTCGCGTACCTATGGTGGTACGCTCCAAACGTGGAGGAACAAGCTACATTCGCAGCGTTTGATAGACAAGATCACGATAGATCAATCAAATTTCGAGCTTTGGTACTTGCCATGGGAGCGATGGCAACTTCTTTCGGATTACGACTAGCTGCCAACAAAGATAAAGTTCAAGGTATAGCTCAAACATATTTGAAGAGTGCTCAGATGGCCAATGCTTTGGCTGATCCTTATGGAGACACAGCTGTAGCAGACGTTGCCACGGCTCATATACTTTATATGACATGTGTTTATCTGGGAACTGAACAACAAGCTTGGCTTCATTTACAACAAGCTCTCACTCGTGGACAATTACTAGGTTTAGATGCATGGGATGATCCTCCATTGGAACGACCACAATATTGGTCAACAAGATTAAAGTTGTATTACACACTGTGAGTTTTGAATTATTTGAAGTTGACCGATTTTCGTTGATTATCAGTTGTAATGCTGAACGATTTCATGCATTTCTTCAACCTCGTATAGGAAACCAATCTCAAGTTTTACGTTACGCAGGTAGACCATGGGAGCATACACAAGCTTTCAGAGCAAGATTGGACCCTTCAACATTATCCCGTTTCCCAAAATTCCACATTGAAATGCTCAATCTCATGGATGAGAAGGTGGTTTATTGTTGGCAAAAACGTTGTGGGGCGGCATTACGAGGATGCAACATGTGGACTATCGAGCAGATTATTCATCTTCAAAGACAACTCGGACATCTTTTCGACGAAGCCATCTCTGGTAGATTGACAATGTTCGATTCTCGACCTGGTGGTGCGGTGGGAGAAACCTCGAATGTAGTCATCAATCTTGCTTGGCTTAGAGAGTGGGTAATCTGGATTGACAGGTAGGTATAGCTGATATTCAGCATCGTTTGGACTATTTGCAAGACTCACGGGATGGTTTCTCTCCATAATGTACATCCTGAACTACGCGTCTCCTTCGTTCACGACAATCTTAAAGCGATTTGGGATTTCCGTGAATCCGGTCTCAACGCAGAGACTGACCCGGCGTTAGACTTCTCTTTCCGTTTACATTCAATCACCATGACGGCGGTAGAAGTAGTGGAACAATACGGTCGTCATCCGGGCTCATCTCATGGTAAGACGATCCGAGATGAATTAGTCCCATATGTTACGAAATGTTTGAGCCTCTTCCTACATCTTGTGAGTATATTTCCCTTCATCATCATTTAATCTCTGTTAATGACATAGAATGGTTCTGGGTCTTATACGACTCAGCTTGTTAAAGCCTTAGCTAGATTATGTTAATAAACATCTGCATCATGTTGTATTTGCCTAAAATCACACTCGGTGTATAAAAGTCATGTACAGTTTAAATGTATAACAACTACTGACATTTGGCAATACACCAATCCAAAGCAGGAGCGAAAATTTCACGGAAACGAATTTCCCATTCCGCACGTCCTTCTTCCGAAATGAGTTCAACTTCTCCATGCTCCATACCTTGCACAGTGACCAATTTACTTTCTACGCCCAATTTTTGAAGTCGATCGTAAAGATCAGTCGAGTTCTTTGGACTCAAGGTAGTATCAGCCGTAGGGTTTAAGATGATGGTCGGAGGGTAATTCGAAGGAATCAACGGTAGGAGAACATGACGAGATGACGGAGGTACATCTTCACCAAGAATGGCAGAAGGGAACATTCCCGTTTCACGAACCTAGCGTAATTAATTCATGTACTCATGTGTGATAAGTTGAGAAACTTACAAAAGTAAACCAAGTCATACGTGGGGTATCTTTGATCTCCGGATTAGGAGTCCAAGGACTTTTCAAAGTACTAAAATCAGCATCTTTTCCTATGTGTCAAGTAATGATTTGAAGAAACAAACCAACCCAATATCATAACCGGTAGTACCGGGACCAGCAATAAGTCGTCTGATAGCTTCTTGAACATCCGCCGGTCTCGACTTGAGATGTTCTTCATAGTTCGAGTAAGGCTCCGAACCGTTTGTGAGTAAATCCCAGTTGGTCAAAGGATAACAAGGGTAAAGTGCTTTAGGAGGAGGTAGACCGGCACCTGGAATATCTACTCCCTATCATTATCAACCAAGTAGCAATGATGTTTGAGAATGCAACTCACGAGAAACAAAGTAGCGGTTCCACCTGCACTAGCACCAAATACGAAAACTCGAGAGCCATCAACTTTACCCCCGGTAATCTTGCCCAAATCATTTACGACCCAAGCGTAAGCGTCGACCCAATCTTCACGTTGAGCGGCAAAGTCGGCACTATTCCACTCAGCGTGATAGTCTCGAAGATGTCAAGATACTCACTGAGGACTCATACGATATTCAGCAGATACAACAGCGAAACCTCTATCAAGGAGATATTTCTGATGACCTTCTTGTAGAACGGCAGTATCACCAAAGGTGAAACCACCACCATGAAAGTGAAGCGCTATTAAAATCAACTTGTCATCCAAAAAATTATCAAGAGACGATCACTCACCAATTGGATAAGGTCCAGGTAAGCTAGAGTCAGGCAAATAAACATCCGCACGACATCCTCCAGTATCATAAGTCTTCAAAGTCTTGAAAGTGTAACGAGTATATTCTAATCCTTCAAAAGAGATTGGCATCTTGTTGGATTTGTTCGATTGAAAGAACACATTTTTGACTGCAAGTCTTAATTTATCTATTAGAGACGGAAGATGTGCAAGATGGTACGGCCGAGTATGCTGACTGTCAGGGAGAAGTTGAACCCCCGGGTAAAAGACACATGGTGGGGTTAGACCATTTATCCTCGTATTTATCCATTCACCTATCCCCCCGCACGGATAAGTGAAAGTGATAACCGGATGGAAGAGTAGACCCTATCGCTCTCGGTAACTGACCGGGTTTTGTTCTCCTTGATACGATTTTCTGACTCCCCAGTGCTATTTTATGTCGTCCTTAATACTGGTTTTTGACTCCCTAGTACCGGTTTATGTCGTGCTTAATACCACTTTTTGCACCCTTAGTACTGGTTTCTGCACTCCTAATACCGGTTTATGTCGTGCTTAATACCCCTTTTTGCACCCTTAGTACCGGTTTATGTCATGCTAATACGGGTTTCTGCATTCCTAGTACCGGTTTTTGACGTCCTAATACTGGTTTTTGCTCTTTTGATACCGGTTTTTTCACTCTTGGTACTAGTTTCTGTCATGCTTAATACAGGTTTCTGCTCATATAAAACTGGTTCGTGTCTTTCTTAAGACAACTTTTTGTCTCCTTGGTACCGGGGTACCGCTTCACGTCGTCCTCAAAACATGATTTCGCATGCCTATCACGAGTTCTTTACGGTCCTTCCTCTCCGATCCACTTCACCTTGTGGCATGTAGCATGAGCATCACACACCCTACGCACACCTGCTTGCCTCAACCCGACATTAACAGCGGGAAACCTCTCACCATGTTTGACTACGGACGGATAGTACGCAACCAGTGAGCTAACATGAATGCGTCTCACTTTTCCCTCTATTCAATAACACAGTTTTCTTAATCTGTTACCACAGGATGATATTATTCGTCTCGGCACTGGATATCCTGATATCTGCACAGTTCTTGGCGTTGTACGGCGGCCTTCCCGCCGAAAAGCACTCCAGGCGGTGCTCCAGGCGGTTCATTGGCGGCTTCGGCCCCATGGAACATACGTAGTCTTTCTTTTATTTTCCCCACAGGATCAGGTGTCCTGACAAGTACACATGTTGTGGTGGCTGTGGGAACGCGGAGATGCCCCTCGGGGACCCCATTCTCTTCATGCGCTCCGGGAATCGTCTGCTCGTTAGTTTGGCCAAGATGGAAGACAGATGGAATGTAGCTTTGGAGACTGCGTGGTTCACCTCACAGAAAGGCGAGCGACGTGTACACATCCGGAAGGAGAAGTGAAAGGAGACGGGATGACGCTCACCTCAATAGATCTGGCTATACTCCACCTACTGAAATGTACCCGCAAGTCCGTACATCTCATATTCAAGGCTTGAGGTCGGACGGACAACCCTTCGACAAGTGAACAACCCTTCATGGTGGACAATGGATACGGACTCTTGCGAGAGGCCATTGGGTAAAAAGAAAGGTGCTGGATAAGTCATGGGATGTTGTGTTGTGACTCTGAAAGAAGATTCGGTCGGATCGAGGAGTGAGTACAAACTTTCATCATTTCGTGTGTTTCGCCAGATGAAAAGAAAGATTCGTCAAACCCCGAATTTCGAGCATTGACACATGATCATGATCCGTCCCACAAGGCTTGGGCCTGACATAGTACCGACACCAAGGGATGAAGTCGATCTCATTGTGACTACTGGGTTATGCCAGTTTCCAAGATTTGTCGAAGACAGTGAAGGCGAGTCCCCAGAGGGTCCCTGCTGTGAGTTTCGGGACAGAGTTGATTGATCCGTTCCACACGAGGACTCAATCCCAACACCGTCAATCGTGAGCTTCTGTACGTACATATATTCTTGTACCGTCCTAGTGAGTCATTGTAAGCTCGAATATTCACCCGACATCAGCAAGAGATACATTCCTCACAGAGCAAGCATAGACGATCCTTCCTCTTCTATTGCAAGAGCAGGCACACGAAACAGGGCGTAGCAAGTGTACTACTCGTAGACTGCCTTGAGAATGAAGTTTGTGACTATAGCAGCTTTTTATTAGCATCTTTAACAATTATATCCTAGAAAGACTCACCAAGCAGACAAACACAAAGAACGGTCTAGGGTGATCAGCGAACGATTTCCGATTAAGTGAAAGGGGAAAACTGACAGGTCCAAGTCGATCATCGTATGGCGCCCCAGTACGTAGCCGTATACTTCTGGCACGCATTTGATATATTGTCAAAGCGTACATCATGACTCCCATAGCTGATCATTAACCTTCATTCTCAGATAGGGCGGGAGCGTTGGGGATTTCCAACCGACCAAGAGGGAGAGGAAGGTTGACTCACCGATGATGGTATACATCGCAGCTGATATTTTGCCAACCTTATCACCGAAATTCAACAAACCCACCGCCAGACCACCCAAGACGACCGCAAAGTGGAGCCATGATAAGAATGTCCGTCTGTGAGTCAGTCATACGTTTGTGATTTGCATGAGAGAAGAAAAGAAGGCGTATTCACTCATTTGCAAAGAAAACTTTGGGCTCTACTCGTACCGGTAGAGCGATCCTCTGGTTTGATCAGCCGGTAGGTCACGAGTAGAATAGATGCTCGCCTTTTTAGCTGTCCGTTGCAGAAGGGGTTGTGTGGACATGGTTATGGTGTGACGCCAAGGAAAGGAAAGGATATGGGTTGATATTGGGGTGGGCTAGACCTCCTTTGGAGATCGGCAGGAGGGAGTTTGACACAGGAGTCGTTTTATTCACACCGAATGACTCGTTCCAGAAAAGAAGTAGAAGGATCAGGATGAGAGGTAGGTACAGGTGAAAAAGAGATAAGGGTTCAAGTAAGTTTTTCAGCTGCTCTGGTTGGTGTACGGTCAAGAGGTGTCACAAACGTGCTTGACCCCCCTCACACGACCTGGAGCCCCGCTTGCAACCCAGTTGGGTCCACGTGGGAGAGTGATAACAATAACCACGTCATGCGTTGTGACCCCCGTGGTCGGATCAGGGCCGAAGGGTGCTCTTGCTCTTTGACCTGTGCAATACTTAAGTTACCCTTTCATAGACAGACTTTAACATTGGACAGCTGGAATCACATATACACTTCTTCAGCTCTGCTATAATCATTTTCATTTCAAATCTTAAATCTTGTCATTCATTCCCATCCAATGTCAAATAGTATAGGCATGCGGGATCAAGTTTGAGACGATCGGGCTCTTCTGTCGTTGTCTTGTTGGTCTGTTGTACCCATACGACATTACAGTCCTTCACCTTAAGATCTTGCCGGCATATTACGCTGCCCCACTCAACATCTCATACCACCTTCATTCATTACCATCGTCCCTTCTTCCGTTCTTGCCCCTATCTACTTATCCCCATATAACATATTGGTCCTCCAGTCAATCGACTCACTCAGGATCGGACAATAAGCAATAGGAACAAAGGCAAGGTGGAGGGATCGAGGCGGAGGGGCGTTTGAGTTGTTTCCTTCCATCCCTTCATCCCGCTTTCCCATAGCCCTCGTGTCCTAGTTGTCAGATCACTTGAAAGGTAGATCGAATCGTATTGAAGAATTGCATAGATTACACGGTGAGTGTCCCATACTACTCAACCCCCTTTGCCCCGGACGACGACGTGACAAAAGACAACAGGTCCTTTCACACTCAATTCCCTCTTCAACGATTGACGTTTCACCCTGCTTGCTTTTCGCTCGTCCTTACATTCACACATCCTCCGCTGTCAACATACGCTCCTCCCTCGCTTCTATTCTTCTCTCTACGATCGTCAAGAGTCCGAAAAGTGAGGAGAGATTGTGGCTGTGCCGTCTCCCTCGATCTGTCACCCGTTCACCGACCGATCAAAGCTCAATCCGACAGCAGATAGACTTTCATGCCTTTCTATCATCCCCGTCGTCAAGTGCTAATCATCCATAGAAACCCCTCCGGACTTTCTTGTCAGATCACTCTCATCAAACATCAATGCCAACTTGAATAGTCCCTTGCTCGCCCCGTCATGTCTTCCCCGGAATCCAACTTTTTACGCGAGACACCTCGTCCTCGACGTCTCCCCACCTCTTCACCGCCTCATCACCCTTTAGTGACTACCGGTACGATCACCTTCATCGCTTCTTGGCGCGGACAACTACTAGTATGCACAACCGTACTCCTCGTCGGCGTCGTCTGGTTCGTTATACAACAGCCATTGGCTCATTGGAAGCATGAACGAAGGGAGCACGTCCGTCGTATTCGTGAACGCGAGCTCATGTTAATGGAGGAGCACAAAGAGGAAAAACCCATCGAGATCCCTAGAGCCAAGGAGAGAGGTAGAGAGAAGAAGAAGGAATCAAGCAAACGACGGAAAACCTCATTACTCAGAGGAGCGGGTGGGGACACCTCTACTGCTCATAGTCCAAGCCCGATGGAACTTTCACCCGTTCGACCTCCCATCGCCAAATCACCTCCAAAACCTGCCAAACTAGGTCTACCGAAGACTTCCGCCGCTTTGACAGTCGTGGCAACATCGGCGCCCGCGATCCATTTACGCGCGCCCACCGATGAAAAGATACGGCGTCCTCTCCTCCCCTCAAACTCCACTCCGCCCACCACACCCGATCCTTGGGAAATACCTCTGCCTGATTCTCCAGTGGCCGGCCCATCCCGAATCAACACGTTCGATTCGTCCGATGGCATGTCGTTCGACGATAGCGCTTCCATGGCAGGATCGACTCGTTCAGGTGTGAATACCAACTCTGTGACTGATGGGTGGTCCATCATGCCTGAAGAAGGATATCTACCGCCGTCTGTCATATCCCCAGCAAAAAAGAAGAAACGAAAATCCAAGGTGGCTTCCACGACGTCTGTCACACCGGAACCCATATCCCGTCCACCTTCAACCAGCATACCAGCCTTACTCGTTCCAGGAGCCTCAACACCTTCGAAAATGGGTTCACCTCGCAAGCAGTCGAGAACGGCGAGCTTGGCCAGGACTGGGGATCTGGAAATTGATTCTTTGTTGGATGAGAGAGATAAGACCATCGATGGTCTTCGAGCCGAGATCGGACTAGCAAAGGCAACGGAAGCGAAAGCGAGTGACGCGGCGCAACGTGCTAGAGCCACAGAAGAGCGATTGCGGTATGAGCTGGACCGAGCGAAGAGATCGCAAAGCAAGGCTGATACTGAGAGTCGACGGCGAGAGGCAGAGGTGAGCCGCACGCTTCGGGATTTCCTTTCTTGTGCACAAGCTGATATTCTCAGATGAGCAACCGAATCACTCAAATGAGTCAAATGTACTCTGCCGCCATCGTTCGACTCAGCGCTCTGGAAAATCTCGTCAGAGACGCAGGTCGAGCAATCCCCCCTCCTACACCTTCAGTGCCTATGAACGTACCCCCACATTTATTACACCCAACATTGTCTCTTGGTTCACCATATAACACCCAATTCACAGGCTCACCAGGTCCTCCAGGTCGCAATTCCCCCATGTATCTACCGTACCCCTCACCAGGAATGTATCCAAGTCCTATGTTACACCCTCATTTCCAAGCCAGCTCTCATCATCCTCATCCTCATTCTCCTTCACCATACCGTCAATCGTCCATGGGTAACGAGGAGATCTCTCTTGCCGGTCCACTCACTCCTGGTCAAGGCAATCATTCAGGGTCAGGGATGATACCCTCTCCTTCTCCCAATGGATTACACACCCCATATCCTCCCGAACTAGGTCTTGGAGTTCCAAATCCCAACGGCTTATCCCCAGCGGACTTGCGAAGACTCAGCATAGAGAGTTCGGTGTTGAAGAAGAAAGCCTTGAAAGAGGGTTCGGACAGTGGAGACTCAAGACCTGAGCCCATACTTGAACATGAACATGATCCATCTCACAAAGTCGAAGGACTGGGAATGGGCACTATCAGCATTAAACCCGACAGAACGTTCACCGGTCCAACTTTTGGAAATCCTCCTTCACAAAAGTCCTGCACCTCCAGTCCATCGAAGGATCAAAGTTCCAGTCCGGTCTTGCATCCCGAGTCCAATGGATCCCATTTCGACGGTATCAAGGTCATTTCTTCGGCAAAGGGAAACGTGTACGCTCTTGTGGGGGATAACGGTTCAGAAGGATCTATGGATTCCCTCGATGTGGACAATCCTTCTTCCAATACGTCAATGACCGAACCTCCATCCTTGCCTGATATATTGGGACCGTTGCATGTGGAGGTCAATCCCGATGGTAAACAATCGAAGATCGGTGGGGAGAACGGCGAAGAAGGGGAGGAGGAATTTGAACCAATGTTCGCTTCTTTGGCTCATACGCCAGCACAGGTGGCGGAAATTGCTAGATTGAGCGAAGCAGCTCTGAACAGGAATAGAGTGACCAGTGGAGAAGGACCAAGAAATGGGATTCAGGTCGGGATATGAATTGCCGGTCGTTTCATTCTACCACCAAACTCTTCGAGATAACAGTCAATTCGCCCATTAGCTTTTCAGTCCATCGGTGAAACAAGTCACTAGGAAGAATAATCATATGTCCCATTGTATCTTGATCCGTGAGTGGAGAGAAACACTCGGATGTAGACAGAGGATGATCAGGGAAGTTGAGGAGAAACGAAATAATGTCACACACTTAAAAAAAGGACATTGATTACTTCGGTGTCATGAGAGATTCAATAAAGCAAAAATAACACACGCATCACAATGCATTTGTTCCATGCATGGGTTGAATCGTCTTCTCTCCATTTCAATTTGTCATCTTCCAAAACAATTGCACATAAATATGACCCTTTCTGACCTCATAGTCCTTTCTATCGAGTGCATTGATAGGGTTTGTAAGCGTATGAGTCGCACACTTTGTTGAGTGTAGGAAGAGTGAGATTTCAGAGCCGATAGGACCGATGAAACCTCCACTCAGGCTACTTGACCGGTTAATGAAATAACCGACATCTCACCCCCGCTTGTTTCCAATCCGGCGCTCCGCGACGGCACTTTCAGTTCCCCCATCTCCCCATCTCACACCTCGACCACTGTCTACTTATACAGCTATACTCACCTTCTTCCCCCAGTCTTTTCATCAGTAGGTGTAACGAGATTGTCCAGCTTTTCCCTCTTCTTCAAAGCTCAATACGTGGTTCTGTACAAAGTAAACTCGTCTAGGACATCACCGTCATGTCAGGAGGAACACACTTTACACTTTCACCTCCAGAGGGTACAGAGTTCATATTATCCCCTCAAGCAGTGGATTTTTTGTGTATATTACATAGGACGTTTGATAAACGTCGAAAAGAATTGTTAGAAGCTAGGAAGAAAGTTCAAGAGGAATTAGACAAGGTGAGTATTCTTTTGCTCCATTTCTTTCTCTTCTCACCACCTCTATGATCATTTCTTCCCCATTTAGCTCTCTATCCTTTTCTTCTCTCCAGTACCTTCTTTCGACTTCATCTTCTAAGGTCCTGTATAAGTTACTCTCTTGTTCACATTTCTTCAATTTTCAAATTTTTGTTCCGCGTTGCGCCGTCCTGACAACATAATCGGTCCTTTCCAATTCTACACAAGTTGCTCTATCCAGTTTCAGCTCATTAGAAGGGATCAGTATATTTGCACTTTTCTGAATGAATGAAGGTCATCTAACTCATAAGGGAAAACCACTCACTTTCCTTCCTGAAACCAAAGAGATACGCGATTCTCCCAGTTGGTCATGCGCCCCTCCTGCACCGGGATTGGAAGATCGACGTGTGGAAATTACCGGACCGACGGATAGGAAGATGGTGATTAATGCTTTGAACTCGGGTGCGAAGACTTTTATGGCGGATTTTGAAGGTGAATCAAACTTTTCATATGTCTCGTTATACTTTCTGGTCTCTCCAATTCGTTGATCCCTCTACTGTGACTAGATGAGATACTAATACAAAGACTCACTTTCTCCTACTTGGTCCAACCTATTAAGCGGTCAGAAGAACCTTTACGATGCCATCAGGTCAGTTGATTGTTGGGTGCTTGATTCTCAGCTGACGATCAAGGCGACAGATCGACTTTGAAGTGGGTGGAAAGCAGTACAAGCTTATCGAAAAGCCAGCTGTGCTTCTTATTCGGTGAGTACGATTTATCATCCTTTCTGGTCGACGACACTTCTCTCTGTGGATATATATCTATCGCTAGCTACGTGATGTGATCCTCATATCAATTTATAAGAACAGTCACATAACTCACGATAGACCCCGCGGTTGGCATCTCGACGAACCACGTCTTCTGATCGACGGTCAACCCATCTCGGGATCATTATTCGACTTCGGGCTTTACTTCTTCCACAACGCAGCCGAGCTCGTCAAGCGTGGTCGTGGACCTTACTTTTACCTACCCAAGATGGAACATCACCTCGAGGCGAGATTGTGGAACGATGTCATCTCTTTGTCCACTAGCAAGCTTGGTTTACCTCAAGGCTGCACCAGGGCAACGGTTTTGATCGAGACCCTTCCTGCCGCTTTCCAAATGGAGGAGATCTTGTATGAATTGAAGGAACATTCTTCGGGACTGAATTGTGGGCGATGGGATTACATCTTCAGTTTGTGAGTGTGATCCCCTTCCTCGGACCTAGTTAATTGGGTATTCCTCACTATTGGTAGCCTACCTTTTTCGGATGACATATGAGGTGGTGCAGTAGAAAGATACACGCTGACATGTAGCATTAAGAAACAACGCGCACACAAGAATTGCATCATGCCAGATCGAGATGATGTCAATATGACAGTCCCATTCATGGATGCCTATGTCCGGCTTCTCATCCAGACCTGTCACAAGTGAGTGTTGTCTGCCACATATTTGACTCTCGCCTATCATACTTTTACCAGATGCACATACAGACGAGACGCTTATGAGTCAGACGCAAAGTGGCAGCTATGGGAGGCATGTCAGCTTTGATCCCCATCAAGAACAATCCGGCTGCCAACGATGCGGCCATGGCTAAAGTGCGTGCGGACAAGCTTCGAGAGGTCAAGGCGGGTCATGATGGGACTTGGGTGGCTCATCCGGCTTTGATACCTCTAGCCATGTCGGTCTTTGACGAGCATATGCATGGGCCAAACCAGGTGGGCAGTATGATCCTTCTACAATCTAGACTAGTCCCCTTTTGGTGCTTGCCCATGCCTACAGACTACAATCTCAAAATCAAGCGCTTGGGTAGAAACTTGGAGCAGGAGTGGCTTGTCCTCAGAAAAGCTCATCTGCAGTACCACATCCGTCGAGAAGATGTCATCGTTACTGATAAACAAATTGCCGATCCCAAGGTTCCGGGCAAGATCACTGACCACGGAGTGCGGAGCAACATCTCTGCGTGAGTTCCGCTCCAGCAGGCCTAATCAGTGATGCTGGCTGACCGATACAGAGCGTTGTCATATTGCTCCGCCTGGATATCAGGGAACGGTTGCGTGCCAATCAACAACCTCATGGTATGTCTAGACAATTGGTAATGTGTGTTGACGATATAGGAAGACGCTGCTACGGCTGAAATCGCAAGGGTTCAATTATGGCAATGGTGTAACTATGGTTTAAAGACCGTCAGTCTATCTTCATTTTACTTCCCCTTGCCTCACTGCTTAACCTATACCGACCTGTCCTATGTCATCCATAAACACACAGTTTGGAGGGGAAGTAGTCTAAAGTTGTAGTAAATACCAAAAACGTGATCTGATCAATAGGATTCGGGGAAAACAATCTCCCCTTCTAATTTGAAATCGATCTTTGAAGAAGAATCCGCCAAGGTGGCCTCTCTACCAGGCATTGACGCAAAACACGTGAAGATCGCTTCAGACTATCTCTTGAGTCAAGTGACGGCCAAGTGGCCCAGCGACTTTTTGACCAGTGACTTGATGCATCATCTCGAAGGTGTAGGTACGGTGGGTGGAAGGGCGAAATATTAGTGATCCGCGTGTTATGAGTTTTCTCTGATATTTGTGTGTAAAAAAGAAGGGGTGCAGATGGTCGGAATGTATGTTGAACTACGTGACGATTGTTGGGACATGTTGCATGTTGCATGTTGCGGGTTGTAAGGGTTTGATCAAGTGATTCGTATGGTACTATGAATATGTGAAGTCATGGAATTCGAGTTTGGATTGCGGATGCGGTGAATAACATGAGATAAATCACAAGTGTCAAAGAGGATATGATATGTATGCATGATCATATGTGACGTTGAGGTTGTCTGAAAGCTTGAAGAGTGTTTCGTAATCCACGTACGAATTCACCTGCGTTACCAGAAGAAGCCATGAGACAACTGGTGAATAGTTCATCGGCTGTTGGTCAGTCGGCAGTCGAACTCATGAGTACATCCCGATAGACATATAGGGTTGTACGCCTCAACGACCTCTGGTTTTGTTTGGTGGGCACCTCCCATCCACAATCATAACGATTGATGGAAAGCAAAGGAGAGATGACAAAACTCACAACTTGTCACCCAGCCTTTTCTAGCGAACAAAGTGAACAGACCCGCAGCCTCTTTACCACTCATTTGACCAACTTCCAACTTGTTCATCCCAGCAGAAGCGTTGGCTAGATGGATGGGGTCTATTTTGGTATAGGGTGTAACGGCATGTGAGGGGGGTATGGGGAGGTCTAATGCCACGGAAAGAGGAAGTGCGACAGGGAAATCTGGTGTCGTACGGGATATGGAGGCGAGTGTGAGGCCTCGTTTCTTCTGGTTAGCCAAGCCCCAGAACTTGAACGCAGCTTCATATGAAGTGTTTGCTGTGGGAGTATTAAGGGGTGGACGTGCAGTTGTGAAAGTCGTAAAAGTAGTGTTCATGTGATTTGGCGGTGGACAATGAGGTTTGGATGGGAAGGGACTAGGGAAAAGGCGAAAGGGGAAAGGGAGCGGGTCAGAGTCTGACTTACAAAAGCTCTTTTGCCAGTGAGAAAATCAAGTGCTAATAAAGGTATGGAAAGATTATACGCTTGTAAGATCTCATATCTCGGATTGCGATATGTCGAGTGACCGAATAATACCTGCGCTTCGTCGATAGCGAATAACACGGGGAATCTTGGGGTCAGCTGGATGTACATCTACCTTCTCTTAATGTCCCCACGTTCTCTCCGTCATTGGTCTCACGCCTTAATGAGAGATAAAGTTGGTTATGGTCGAGAGCACTTGGGTAGAAGGGAAGTAGGGAAGTTACGTACTGTGTTTGGTCGGCGAGTATATCGATGACTTCCTCCAATACCGCCGATGAATCAGCCCGAATTCCAGTGCCCGATTTAGCCAATTCAGCAAGATTTTGAGTTTCTTGTCCAGTAGGTATTCTGGCAAGACGATGTTCGCTTGTTTGTAGTAGTCTATTCAACAGATCGGCCGCAAGTGTCGGTTGGCGGAAGATTTTAGTGGGGGAATGATATTCATATGCGTGGATGGAAGATACCCATTCGCTTGCTATATGTCAATATCTGACTAGTACCAACATCTCAAATCTCCACCCGCTAACTACCGTCATGTGGGACACGACGACAAAGACGATACGTGTGATTGATTGTCAGATGTGTTCTGAATGACGATTGGAAGAAATACGAGTCTTGAGGAGACATGAGGAATAATCACACACCTCGAGGAATGGACAACACAATCCAATCAGATTCTAAAGCATATGCTGTAGCATGTAGATGTAAGAAAGTCTTTCCACTTCCTTTATCCCCAGCTACATCATCAACTCTGCCGTCTCAAAACTCGAGCAACTTCACTCACCAAGCAAAAGAGGTGAAACTTTCTTAGAAGAAGAGGCAATTTCCATCCTTGTCTTCAAATCCAAAGTAGCTTGTCTTATAACCCATGCCGGTCCTCCACTTTCAGATAACTACATCGTTACCTAAAGAGATTCAACATCAAAACCAACCTTGACATACCTCTTTCAAGATCCGTTTGGGAAGACCAATTTCCTTCAAGTTTTGAAATGTTCTTTGATGTAAAGTAACCACCTTCCCCACGTTACTAGAAGTCACCGTCTCCTACTTATCAGCCTCACCATGAAGGATGGATTTGTGGACATACAGGATATAAGACTGGTAAATCGGATAAATCAGGTTCTCTATATGCATCCTTATAACGTAAAACAACCTGATCGTCAGTATCTATTCATTAGAAGAAGTAGTAGATTGACTTGATTTCTGGATGAATTAGATGTACCACTTCCTGAATTAGACTGAGAGGGATCTCTGGCTTTCCTTCTAGTGAATCCGACTGCTTGTGTTACTCTGCGTGGAGGACCGGCAGCTGGGAGTCAGTATCATCATCAGCTAGGGAGAAGGAGGGGATGCTCACATTTGCTTTTGGGAGGTGCGAGACGAGATATGGAGGTGGAGATTAATCGTGAGGGACCGCCAGGTTGTATGAAAGATACTACGTGACTCTTGAAAAGAGACATGGTGGGTATAGTTCGGTTTTCACTTGAGTAGAGACATCTCCAGGTGGAATTTGGACTTTTACTGAGAGGGGGAAAGTGCAGGGATAAACTCATAAAAATGACGAAGAAATAAACAAAAAAGTCGTTCAAGGTGGATTTCATATTCTTCAGCTACAATTACTACTTTTGACATCTTCTAACTCGCAATGGCACCCACATCCTCGTCCTCCAAGCTCAGAGCTAACAAAAATAAGAAGATATACACCTCTCTACCTTCATCTATAAAACCCAGTGTCAGTGCTGCAGAATTAGGTGTCCCGTCTCAACCAGGCCAGCCGTCGAGAAAGGGCAAAAAAGCTTGGAGAAAAAATATCGATATTACAGATGTGGAACAATCTCTCGAAGATGCCCGGGCAGAGGAACGTCTCACAGGGTGAGTAAACTCTGCTTTAGCTGATATGTCATTACCTCTTTCCCTCCTGCATCCGGTGGTCCCTCACAAGCTGACATTTAGGGGTCCTGTGAGACAGAAGACCGATGCCGAGTTGTTCGTTATTGATACCGTTGGTGATGTCCAAGGTGTGTTGTCTTTCACTTTTTTCCCATTTTATATCCTCTGGATTTCTTCTCTCTTCACCAGCAATAAGCATGTGTTAGGGTACTGTGACGATCATCCGACGGAATGAGAGCTTGGCAGAGGCACATTTGATTTCAGGCTGATTCGAAGTCGCTCAAAAACTCCGCCGAGCATCAAAACCATTACGCTCCCTAGCTGTCTTATCTGAGCGTTCCGCTGTTCCATCTCTTACATCTCGACCCTCGTCTCACTCTCACACCGGTATCTCCAAAACCGAGAAAGCTCGCCTTCGTCGTTTACGCGACCGTCTCGGTCCCAACTCTTCCGGTCTTTCAGCTCCTGGGACCGCTCCCACCTCTAATCTCGCAGACGTCTGGGACGCGGTACCTTCTGTCCCGTCTGTACCTGGAGGTTTTGGGGAAGAGGCGATCGCCCCGCCGAATATCAAACCCCCTCGTACTATCGAAAAACATCGTCAAATCTATCTCGAAGCTGTCGAAGGAGAACGTCGGGTGGAAGTACCAGACGCAGGAATATCTTATAATCCCAAAGCTGAGTCTCATCAGCGTCTACTCGATCTGGCAGTACAGGAAGAACTAGACAAATTGAAGCGAGAAGAAGAAGAAAAGAGATTGATAGAGGCCCGAGGGGGTGTTGTGGAAAGTCGACCCGTGCCTATGATAGGTGACGATTATGTCGATGGAATGTATGTTGGTTCAGGAGAGAAAAACTATGAGACAGAGGAAGATGAAGAAGATAAACCGGTGAAGAAGTTATCAGGGAGGAAAACAAAAGCTCAGAGGAACAAAGCTGCTAGAGTTAAAGAAATGGCAAGATTGGCACAATTGGAAAAGGTCAGAAAGAGGCTGGAGAAAGATGTGGGAAGTGCGAAGTCCGTAGCCAAGCAGGTGGAGGTGAAAGCGAAGGCTGCCAGGGAGGCTGAGAGATTAGCCAGGATCGCGAGACATGAGAAGGAGAGGTTGGGTTTGCAAGGTGGGGAGAAAGTGGGGAAACATAAGGTAAAGAAAGGGGATGTTGTGGTTCAGTTGGGAGAAGATTTGGCTGAGACGCTGAGACAGGTCAAGGTGAGTTCCAGCGTGTCTGTCTATCAGTCTGATCCTGCTTCATACGATCGACTCACGAGGCGGTAGGGGAAAAGCATAGCTGACATCGCAGCCAGAAGGGAACTTGTTCAAAGATAGATTTATGGCACTTCAAAAGAAAGCATTGGTCGAACCTCGTGTACCGCAAATGTGAGTGTATCGTCGTTTGACAATCATCATCAAAGACTGATTACCAGGCCAAAGAAGCGCAGGCGTAAGGTTATCGAATATGAGAAACACGCCTATAAGCGGTTTACATAGTGTACAATTGACCAAGATTATCTGTGCACGTCGTACGTCTCATCGTCCACCGGGCTGTTCACTACCTGGACAACAATCATTCAAGCTTTCTTGTATGTGACATCGAAACATCCGTCTTCGGTATGAAATGTATATATCTGCCTAAGATACAGTATTTGTATAACTACAATCTATCAACCATCCACCCGTTTCTTCACAACACCGATGATTCAGTCGTCGTTTATACCTCTCTTCTCACCTTGATTAAGACCGTCATACCCCTATTGGCCCAATCTACCACATAAGCCTCCCTCACACCTGCTTGATGATCGAAAGCATCATCTTTTCCTCCTAAAATTTGACACAAAAATGTGGTGACTTCCTCTAAAGTACATCTACCTTTCCCTTTGACTGACGGAGCGTGTAGAGCGTTGAGAGGTTTGCTTCGTGGTGGTACGACGTATGCTGAGAAACACGCTGGGCTTGGTTTGACCTTGACTTTGGGATCATGGGAGGGTTTGAGTGGGGCGGGGAATTGTATGCTGCTTGTCAGATACTTTCCTCGCACGTTCCGGTATGACGTGTTAAAGAGATCACCAGGTTTACCTTGGCGATCGACGAAGTTGAATGAGGCATCGGAATTGAGACAGGGTGGGATGGGATAGATGATGAACTCACCCAACGGTATCGTATTGTTCTCTGAGAACAGCTTCCAGCACACTTTCATGAATATGATTTGTGACTTGTGGTTCTGATGAAGGAGGTACAACACATTCTAGACCTTTCCCTGTTATCCATTCCTGTTTATCAATAAAAGCTCAAAAGTCAAAGTCATTGGTGAAAACTCACACATTTTGTACCTGTTTGGTTGACGAATTGTACCATCCTACCTGGTCTAGTCTTGATAATCAGCAAAACTGTCAATTGGTCAATCAAGAATCACTGACCTCTAAGATGAGACGTGGATGAAAAGATTTGTAGATCATCTTTGGCGTCTTTGAATTATTAGAAGTCAGTATGGTTGAAGGTATCAAATCAGGATGGTCAGAGATATCAATACAAGTTGAAGAAATGAGTTATGAATAGATTTGGTGAATCAAGGTCAGAGATCAGAGATCAGAGAATGAAGATTTTGTTTTCCCTCACTATCCTACGTTGTGTGATATATATATGTATATATTTAATAAAGAAAGACTTACGTAGCACGTAATGATCACGATCTAAATCTCTTCCATTGATCCATATCGGACGGAACTACCATTTATATCCCTCCTTCAACCACCATGGTACTGTATCCCTCATTGATCCATTGATCACCAAAATGTTCGTTATCGTAATCACGTCAATCTTGCGTGTATGAAAAGAGTAAAAAGGTGGTATTCGGAAATATCAAACATTCACTACCATTATTTTATCAGGGTGCACTTTTGTAAGGACGTAAGGGTAAAAGGGTGGTGTCGGGAATTTGAAACGCAAGATTATGAAACTCACAATGCCGACTCGACGCGACTGATTTTTCTTTTCCTTTTTCCTTTTCATCATCATTCCACTTCGATCAAAATTGGGGCGTGGAGCACACCACACGGGACACGGGCCGCTATGAAGAGGTTCCTTTGAGCCTCGAGGCTTGTGCGTCTGCCACTTTGTCTTTGCCCCACCATCAATCATAGCTTTGCCGCAGTATCAATCCTCTTCTTCTCTTTTTCCTCAACATGATCCTTATTCCTCCATACACATCTTAATAGAGATATCTCTTTCTCACACCTCATTCCTCTTCATTCTCACACTTCCCCACTCCTCCACTTCCCTATCATCATCATCTTCAATCAGAAAACCCATCAACTCTTATTGGTCGAAAGGTCAGACGACTAGGTCTGATAGCGCCCCCCCAAAAATCACTCAACCCTCCCGTTTCTCCACTTCGATCCACTCACTTCATCATCAACGCAATCCTTGCCACCCGACCTCAACACCTCTCTTCAGCTCTCTGCCTCGACTGTCTCCTGCATCTCACCCCTCAAACAGATTATGTCCCCTCGAGAATTTCCTAATCCCGTAGCTGTATATAATGACACTTTCATCTTCACCACGCTCTCTTCTCGCGAAGTTGCATCGCATTTGAAAACCCCATTCACTCATCCTCGCACTCATCGACCCTGTGACCTCTTCTCGCGTGAGTCGCATCCATTCCATCATCCTCCTTGTCACCTTTGACAGCAAATAAACAGTTATGCTCACTTTACAGTGGACACGGAGATGTCTTACATCAGCTTCGCAAAGGATCACGGACCTCTCAATCTCGCCTACACTTATGCAGCATGTGTAATCATCCACGAGGAGATTGCTGTAGGTTCACTCCATGCTCATCAGAATTGAGTTAACGGAATGAACAGAAAACAAGTCGTCGGAAAGCACTCTGCATATACACTACCAGCGAACCAAAGGTCAAATCCAATATAATGCTGGCGGTAGCTCTCTACTGGGTGAGCTGGAGAGATGTCCTTGGTATAGAAGATACTCATTTCCAGCTGATTGTGGGACACATGGAACCTTGGACAGCCTTTTCACCTATCGCTACTTGGGAAGTGATGCCTTTCCGTGATGCTGGAAACGGTATCATGGATCATGGGCTGTCTATACAGGTTTGTTGCTCGCCCCTTGTGGATATGCTCAATTAATCGGCAGGAATGTCTGTACGGAATGCACAAAGCTATTCACCATGGCCTTGTGAATCTCAAGACTTTCGACCCACAATCTTATCAATACTTCGAGACCGTCGGGTGGGTCCTCCTGCTGTAATTGAGATGTCTCGCTGACGGTCAGGAACGGAGATCTGAACGTTATCGGACCTTTCATCCCTTTCGCTTCACCGATGGAAGAAGCATGGGCCATACCGACAGAAATCAAAGCCCGGCAACTGGCTCACAATCTGCGACGATCTGAGAGAAGGACAAGTTCTATTTCACAACCAGCTATGCCTACCTGGGCGCAGTTGTCCAAAGGAGTGGACACTGAACATTCCTTCAAATGTGTGATGAAGGTGTTCTCAGAGGAGAAAGTTGGTCTTGTGGTCCGTTTGAATGAAGAACTGTACGTCAACTCTCCTCGGCGGGCACAAGCTGATGATGAGATATGACCGTAAAAGGTTCCTCGACCAGGGTATGGAACATGTCGAGATGTACTTTGACGATGGCTCCAATCCCACCGACGCTATGGTTCGCGAGTTTATTCGTTTGTCCGAGACTGTCATCGAGAAGCAGGGCAGGAAAGTCGCCGTACACTGCAAAGCAGGTCTGGGTAGAACGGGTGTACTCATTGGCGGTCAGTTAAGCTGTCGAACGCTCTAGGCTAAGCTGATCCACAGCATACCTCATCTACAAATACAGCTTCTCCGCCCAAGAGGTCATCGGATTTATGCGCATCATCCGACCCGGAATGGTGGTGGGGCCTCAACAGCAATACATGCTATTGAACCAGATGAAATGGATCGGCTGGGTGAGTGGCGAACCCTCTGTGTTTAAAATCAGCTCACTCTTAGGCCGCCAGAGATCAGGCCTTGCGAGAATTGGCCGAAGTAAAGAGTGCAGCAGCAATCTTGGCCACCCCTCCTCTCGATCCAGAGCCTATTTTACCAACTTCCTCGTACCCTTCAAACTTTAGCACGGTCCAAGATTTCGTTGAAGAGACCACTATCGTTCACACCGAAAGAAGGACAGCATCTCGAGTACCATCACCGAGATTGACACCAGTCAGAGAATCTCGAATCACTCCGATCAAGGGAGGTGATGCCGCTGGCCAACCTAGGAAATCTCCCCTTCGTCCCGTCCAAGCGGAACAGATGGAGGTTGAACCCCAGGTCGAAGCCACAAATCCTCGTCCTCAGCACTCGCGACACTACAGCCGGGGTTCCATCGAGAATGCCCCTCACGCGACCGCTCCGCCCACATCCTCAGTATCAACGTCGTCCACTGGTTCAGTCAGAGGAACCAAACGAGGAGCCACCCGTGCTCCAGTCCCTCTCGTTCCCACATATTCCTCTGATCGAACTTTATCCCAAGCCTCTCTTCTAGCCCTGCGCATGCCGTCCAGTTCTATGCCCAGACCATCAAGTCTGATCAGTTTATCATCCGTCACTTCAGAATACGACGATCGTCCCAAGAAACGAACACAAACTTCACCTCTCAGTCACCACGGTCTCTCTTCTCCTCCACCTTCGCGTGAGAGCTCTCCTCTGGTTCTGGAACAAGTGAAAGAGGAACGTTCGAGTGACGAAAGATCAGTCAAGACTCCTAAACCTCAAGAGCCCCGATTGACCACTCCACCGAAATCCGCTTCTCCTCTGCCTGAAGTCCGTCGACCAGCTCCGGCAGTGATCGCTCAGACTCAAATCCCAACCAGAAAGTCTTTCCTTCCGGTCAGAAGAGCCGCTTCGGTTGTTAAACCTCCTAGACCGGTAGAAGTGACTTCCAGGGCTGAGGTATCTCCCACTCGACATGCCGTCACCGTACCGAGAAAGGAAAAGGAGAAGAGGAAAGGTTTGACACCACCGAAATTCGCGATGGACATGTTGGGACAATTCCGTCTGGGTTCTACTCCAAGTGAGTTTCCATAGCCCCTTTCTTCCGTCTTTCTGTGTCCTTCCGTCTGTATATCAGGTCTAGTCACTTTCTCTTCTCATATACTTTTCCGTCGTCGTCGATCTTCACTTTCATGCCCCAATTATCCCCTCGCCAGTCCGTCCATCGACCACTACAAAGTTTCCGTAAAGGAGAACGCTGATATTTAGCTCCCCATTCGTAAGGAAGCGAGGATAATCAAATTTATGCAAAAGAGGCAGCAGAGAGGGATCGTTTGGGAGAAATCATATCCTGATCCAACATTCTCTCGACGGGTATACGATGTTTTGACGACCATGTGATGACTTGCACGAAAAAGAATCCGATCCTATTTCCACAACAATCCGGCTCTAGTTGAACTGGTACAACACATTCACTCAATGTCTCACTCGCATTGTTCATGACATGCATATTTTCAGCACGACTCGACCATAATTTCATTCCACTGGTATTGACAGGTATTTGTTTGATACGTCGCAGACGCCCGCAGATGCACACTTCACAAACAGATGCATGACAAACTATTGACACTTTTCAAAAGTGATCAAACAATAGTCTTCAAAGGGTCTAATCATTGACATGAGGGTTGCGTTCTGCGCCCGCACTCGTTGCCAGGTCTTCCATCTCCTGATCTCGCCTATTCGTCTCGAGCAACTGATGATGAGCACCCCCTATCCTTTCTCCGCAATCGGGACAGTTGGCCTCTTCCTACTCCATCAGCAAGTGACCATTGTCCATTGAGGGGAACGGCTCACCATGGCTTGTCCACATTCTCCGATAGTGAATGTATGTCCTCGTGGGCACTGAAAGTCAGCTTCATGACTGATCAGTGCATGTGAAAAGTGATTTACCTGATAAAAACGTCCTCCGTATTCTGTCATGGGTCAGCTGACTGCCTTTCATAGTAATGGTGCACCACCAAAGTGACAATAAAGGAAAGGGAGGGTAAGCGGTGGGTCGAAGAGCGAGACGAAGAAACAGGATCATCAAAGATATGTATCCATAGTGAGGATAGGGAGTGAGGCAAGACGGACACTGACTGGGGCGATGATGACACCATGGAAACAACCAAGGGGGGAAGCCAAAGACTCACGCCACGATGCCTCAATTACCGCTCGGGCTATCTGTAATTTCTCCTCCGAGCTCACAGGAGAGTAGAACACTCCCGTCCGCAACGTTTCCACAAATGTAGACCATTCTTTCATGATTGTCATATACATTGGCCATACCTTCTCCTTCGCCCATTCTCGTAATTGATCATTTCCTCTCTCACCATCGACCATATCGTTGTAGACTTCGATAAACTTATCCCCCGCCGCTTGCCGAGCTTGCATTGCCTGCTCGGTTGCTTCCTGTCGAACTGTGGGATTCTTCCAGATACTGCGAGACACGTATTCTTCCGCATGAAAGCGACCCATTTGGAAACTGGTCTCGAGAACGATGAGCGCGGAAGACAGAGTGAGTCGGCAAGTTTCGGCTTCTTCACATAGACGAATCGCCAAAGACGCATCGCGTCGGGCACTTCGGAGCAAAGTGAGCGATAATACTCCAAACCGCCACTGACAGTCATTTCTGTTTCGTGCCAAATTCTGTCGGTGACGAGATGTTCCATCGGGGAGGGAAACACGTCCAATGGCGTCGGCAAAAGACTTGGCGACAGGAGCCAGCTTGAGACGTACTTTGATACTTTCCAACAAGGCCTCGATCTTGAACCGCGCCTCACCTCGAGGAAAGGGCGCCCCTACTCTTCTTCGAGCAGTCAACATTGCGGACTGAGTAGCGTCGCGGATCGTTGCAGTGTTGGGTGACTCCGACGTGGAAAGTTCCATTTCTTCATGGAAGGCGGACGTGAGTGCAGCTTCGTAGGCGGCGACATGCGGCAGACGTGCGTTGTTGACCATCCTCGCCAAGTTCCTGTAGAGTAGCATCGGACCCTCTACCGTTTTCTTCCATGCCACAGCGATCGGTCCGGTGATAGAAAAATACTTGCTGATCTCCTCGAAGAATATATTAGAAGGGACACAATTCATGGCGTCAGGCGCGAGACACATCTGTAGGTTGATGAGTTGCATGTTTGGTTGTTCAATATTTTTGTTGATGTTCACGCCGTTCATTGTTCGCGGGACAGACTGACACATTTGCACTAGGTCAATGTTCGCTACCGATTGACGTAGACGTGAGACGTCTCGTGCAGCGTTGGTGATAGCATGTTGTTCTTGTATGTCGATCAGGGCGCGTTTAGTGACTCTATTGTACCGAGGCGAAGAGATGGGACCCCGACAGTTTGGGCAAAGGGGACGTTCCTTGAAGCCAGGTTCGGGGAGTTTGGGCATAGTATATTCCCCAGATCTCGGGTCCGTCGAGTAGTGATCACCAAGGCCGGCAACGCCATCCAAACTCTCCACGGTGAAGACATGTCCACAGGTCAAAGTGATGAGTCGAGGCATTTCATCTTCGTCCAAAAGCATGGATAGAGTTGACTGCATGATGACATCCACAATGGAGTCAAGTTGATCTGCGTCGGCACATTGGGGACAAACTTGCAGGGCGCATGGTTCGCCGCAGACTGCTGTCAGTCACAACACGAGGTGGATTAGTGAATGCTCACTGGAAGGACATGGATGACCACAAGTCAGGACGGAAGTGCATTGCTCTTCACACGGCACACGGTCGCAAGGCTTCCGTCAACACACATTTGACTTATGGCGCTTATGAACTTACCATCGAGCATGGGAGATGGCACTGTTTGCCGTGTGCACACCGCCACATACAGGGCTCTTTGCCTGGAATGATCAGCCGTAAAATTTTCTCGTTATAGACAAGCTCACATGGATTGCAAGGTCTTTGACATGTTCCACGGCATCTTTGATGCGAGCAAGACTGCAAGCATGCCTCTTTGCACGGCGGATGCACATGTTTGGTCGAACAATCGCCCTTGCACGTGTGCTTGCAAATGTCAAGAATCTTCCCACAAGGATGCGAAGCGTGTTTCAGCCGAAGGATATGTTGACGACTGATATCTTCGAAGGGTTCTTGAGGTTCGCCCGCCAGATTGACGATAGGACCGTGAGACAGTTTCGGGCGAGGAAGATCTTTGTTAAGGCTTTGACAGGTCGAGCAATCCGCTTTGCAATTCCTGCCGCAGCAGTCGGTAGGCGTACCGCAGATCGCTTTGCATGGATAGCTGTTGACGTCGTCTCCCTTGGAATGAGTCAGTATCGTCCGTCATCCATAAGGAAATACTCACGCATCTCACGATACGAGAATGTTCGCCTAGATGGTCAACTCGGCAATACAACTTTGGAATGTCATACTCACATGAGGCGAACTTCTTCGAGACCATTTCATGACATTTAACGTGATCGAGAGAGCGTGTTTCCCAACTGCCTCATCAGCACTGTTCGAGATTCGAGGAGGGGACGCACCAGAGCAGGTCCACGATGTGACCGCATGGCAGCTCTACGTTCTTGCAGGGCAACTCACACTTGCCGCAATCTTCATAGCACCTCTTCTGACATGGGTGGCCGCAGGAGAGTAGACGGGTGCAACTGCTGCGACATTCTATCAAGCGATGTTCGAGATCGTCTGGATGGCACTGTCAGGTCAGCCGCAGCAACGTTTATCATTTCTTACCCACTTTTTGTCTGCAGAGATGGCCACAGGGCATCGACATCTCACTGTAGATGATCAGCGCACTCTTCGGGGGTTCACACGCACCATTGAAGTAAACATCCGCCTATGTCATCAGCAGATATTTCAAGAATGACATGTGGAACCCACCATCTGGGGATAATTGCTGGATCTGGCCCGGCTGGGAGGCATATCGTAATGTCTCGGGATGCCTTGCACATGCGATAGGCCAACCATTCCCCATGCAGTCGCTCTCACTAAGCTCGCCAATAATCGTCTCCCACATCGAACTTCTAGCTGCGAGCTGCGGAGCATTGCCCATGATGTAGAGACCGTGTTTGGCCCGAGACAACGCCACATTGGCACGATTGTTTGACTTAGGATCAGCTTGGAGTAGCAGGTATGAACAAGCCCACCTTGAGGAAGCCGATAGTCTGGGGGGTTAGACTATCTGCTTCGCCGGCATTACGGACAAGCGAGAGGATAACACTGACACAATCAGTCATGAATCATCGGCTGTGATTGTACGACTTACATCTTGGCCTCTTCACCTTGGAAATTATCAACTGTACGAAGCAACACCTGAAGATCAGTTCAAGTTCAAGACTGAGACCGTCGGCTCACCTGATGCGCGACCGCCACTTGCTTGACTTCGGGCTCACTATCTTCTTCTTCGCCAACCCTTCGATCAATCTCACGTTGATCCCGTTCGTCCATGATGACAGTGATATGACGACCAGCCAGCGCCTGCTTCATCTTCATGAGTTGTCTACACATCAGCTCTAATCCGGTTAGATGCAGACAGATTAAGCACCCGAGATAAGCACACTAGTGAAGGTCAGCAAAAACCCCGTCAACGACACTGTCATTACTGACCAAGATAACAATATCTCCTTCGCGCGTATACGATCCCTGCTTGAGGAAATACAGAGCGAGGTCGCACGCCATGGATACCTCATAGTCGTTAGACTTGCTCGCTCCCTCATCTCCCCCCTTGCTCTCGGGGTTGCGATGATCACTTGGGATCAGCTGACTATTCGATTCCGAGGCGGAAAAGTCACTGACAGGAAAAAGACGTTCTTCCCCATGCCGCGGACATCCGGGTACTGCGTGACAAGTTCATGATCCATGAGTCGCGGATAAAGAGTGTTTCTGTCATTTAGCAATGATCGCAGAAGTGAGAGCGGATCTCCTTCACCTGATCAGTGACGAAATCGTGGGCCGCATCCGTCTCTGTACCAAAAGCTGGCTCATCGGGAGACCACCAGAAGCAAGGCGTTCCATGAGAGAGACATCAAACCGATACAACTTCTCGCCGATGGAACTATCGACCGACAGCTCTGCTAGCGTCAGGTATACATCGCAGAGGTGAAGCTCACTCACCATAGCAGTTCACGTTGGGACGAAGCTGCAGAGGGTCGCCGATGGCTATCACGTGTTCAATACTTGGAAATAGAGTAGCCAGTACGTGGGCTTCCAGAACTTGTCCCGCCTCCTCGATGACGAGCACTTTCGGGGCAAATCCCTACATATCAGCCCTGTTTGTCCCAGCATGTCTATTGCCGAGACTCACTTTCAGCACGGCCGGTAGCTTGGCTGCACCAGTGGTGGTTGATCCAAGTAGTTTGACCTTGTTGAGTAAGGCCACTCGGATCTGACAGTCAGATGCGGCGACTTGCATTGTTAGGATCTGCTCACGTTGTCTCTGGCTTCGTCTTGTCGTTTCCGTGCATCTCGTGCCTACGGGTCAAACTTTGGAATTCCTCCAGGGCTTCTTCATCGATATCGTTCTTTGCCCGACGACCAAGCCAGTCAGCCAAGCGAACGCGCTCCTCGTACGAGAAACCCCAACAGTCGGTCGATTGCAGGAGAGCGTCCATGGGGCGAGTACCGGTAGGAATACCGGGGAGCTCGGTGAGAGTGAAAAATTCCAGAAAAGCGTCCTTGTCTCCGAGAGCCTGAGCCTCTGTTAAGAATGTGTCCTCTACCTCCGTCAAGACTGTGTCATCGATCTCTAGGAGGGACGACACGTCGCTGAGATCCGCATCGACGTCCGACTGGCCGGAGTCAAAGTCGTCCCAGTGTTCAACGTCCGGCGGAGTGTAGAAGAACGACCATCTGGCATCTTCCTCACTTTGTGGCACGATTGCCTCTGATTCGGAAGGCTCTGAAGTGGAGTCTGCAACGGAGAGTTCATCGAATCTATTGGTCGGGATAGGTTTGTTATCGAATGTCTTCTTTGCTGGTGGAGCGTTGAGAGTTCGCAGATGATCGAGATCGAGGCCGGCCTGCCAGAAGGCCCACAAAGATTGCGATGTGCGCTTCCTGCCTGCCGTCGACCACCCGTCAAGATCAGCCGAGTTGATATATAAAGCTCGGACGTATGCAGGGGGGTTATTGATACTGGCAAAGAGCGCTGGGTGGTCTTGTTGGAGATAGTGCCTGATTTGTTCTTCCGTTGCGTCGCTTCGAGTAATATTCTCGGACACTCGTTTCATTTGCTATCATCTATCAGCGCACTGGTAAAGATGTGAGTGCTTTCGAGCTTACCGCCTCCAAGTCCTTCATTTGGCCAGTGAACTTGCTCTTCTCAGTGTGCAAGGATGTCTTTCGCTGCGTGTGTTCGAGCGTCTCCAGGGAATACTGCGAAACAACTTCATCCTTGCTTCTTGACCCCAGCCGAAGCATATCCTTTGTCACGCCACTGTCGTGAGCAGCTCGCAAAATATGATCCAGGGCATGATTCGTAAAGGCCAGAAGGACAACAGGCCTGGCATTCAGTACGTGGGGGACCCTGACTCATGATGTATGGCACTCACCCAACATTGTTGTGGAATAACAGACGAAGCAGCTCGACTCCGGTGAAAGTCTGATGTGTCAATAGGTGTGTCATGGCATTGTGCTTCAGGGGTAGCCTTACCTTGCCAGTGCCAGGAGGACCTTGTATCAACGCAATTTCCCTCACGAGACAATCTAGGACCGCATCCGTTTGACTGTTCGGATCAGCGCTGCGGCCGTATCGTCAAAAGAAACCAACCTCCGGTCGAGTTTGCCCTGCTCATGCAGTATCTCCCTGGCTGTCGCAATTGACACCTGCGACGTAGGGTCCATGCTGCAAGTTTCTTCAGACCCGTCCTTGAGCATGCACGATAGATCCCACTTGAAACCCGGTATGGCGGAGTAGGCGGGCAGCTGAATATGCTTATCTTTTAGATCGCCGTGTTTGATATATTCTGCTAAAGGGAGACGAAGAGGGTCGGTCGTTTTGAGCACTTGCAGGAAGGGCCGGACCGCTTCGTAGAGGACGGGCGACTCCAGAAGAAGTCGGGTAGAACTTCGACTTTCTTCTCTACGTCGAAGCACTTCAGCGGCTCGGAAGCCATCCGCGGGATCAACGAACGCGAGGCCGAACTCGATTCCAGAAGAGCCGTGATGATCCACGCTCTTTATGGTAGTGGGAACTGCATGTTAGTGGGCGAGACGCCGAGTGAGAAAAGTTCGACTTGCATGATGTCAGAAGAGCCAAGCTGACGCTGGCCGGTACTCCGAGCTCTTTATGCACCAAAGCAACCAGACCACCCATCTGCAGCCTCTTCCCTTGATCCCAAAAGGTCTTACGGACAGAGGGATTATGGCTTCTCGCCGGACCTGGAGGTGCATCACCGCGCACGTAAACGACAAGACCGAATTTATGACTGAGATCTAGTGCTTGAAACTCGATGTGGGTTAGAACAGGCATCATTCTGCTTGTTAGAAGGGCATGCTTGTGGAGTTATGAAATGCTCACATCGAATCTGAGTCGGTGGTTTGCCCATTGTATCGCCCTCCGCGGGCGCGTACGAGGCGTGCGACTGCGTTTCAGTGGAAGTCTACGGAGTGGACGTACCCTTCGAGTCCGCGTAGGCTTCCGGCCCCAGATCAAGCTCTTTGAGGACTAGCTTAACACCAGTGCGCAGAGACGTTGTAGCGTCTGCCCGGAGCAGCCGAAATTGTATATCCAAGCTGATGTCAGCCCTCTATCGATGGCTTGTTACTCACATCTTCTCGATGCAGTCCTCGGGAAGATGGTGGTGAGCTCCGGGGAGATTAGCAGGCAGATATGCTTCCTCCTCGGACAGCAGCTCGGCGGTCGTCGGCGGAATTTGGATGTCAGCAATAGAGATATGATCTGTATGTCAGGCGTCTGATGATCGATGTACGAGAACGTACCGTTGTCATGTCTTGGACCGGTGCTACACAACGCTCCGGGACCTTCGTATTCTCTGTTGTATCAGATAGACCACTTTCAGGGGAAGATCGTACCTTGCCAGACCAGCTAGCACACCGAGAGATGGGACGAACGGTTGAGTCATAGGAAAGTCGTGTTCGTCTTTGGGTTTGAGGCATCTGCTAGCAACTTTAGCGAGTAGGTCAAGGTCGCCGCGGATCTTGTTGATGAAAAAGCTCTTCTCCTGAGGCAAGCGAGAGGTCAGCCTGTCTTGAAAGGTACCCCGCATGACCCGGTCTGCCCAGTCCTCAAAATGAGTGGTCAAACGATCAATGAACGAGGCCACCTCGGGGTGAGAGGTCGTCGCCGCCCGACAACGTTCGAAATATCTATTTGGTCAGTATGTCCAAAGAACTGAGTTTGAGTGCTCACTCGAGAAAGAGTATAGCGATTGGTTTGAAAACTTGAGCGCCAGAAACGATATGGACCACTTTGTGTCTCATGTACTGATCGGAATTGGGATCGTCGAAGTTGTTTGCGTCCATACAATCCTTGACATTTTCGTCGATGACTGTAATGACATGCTCGAGATTGTTCTCCACTAAGCCATAGAGCGCACTTGCATAAGAACATGCCGTCTCTCTATTGAATTACGACTTACTTCACATGGGCCAGGCTAGCAGACTTGATCACAGCTTCTGAGGTGAGATACTGATAATCAGCCATACAACACGAATCTACCGAAATGCTTACTCCGATTATTGCCATATACCTGCTCAGGAAATGCATGTCCTTGGGCTGAGAAACAGTTCGAACCACCGACGGCCAGCGAATTATCTCTCCCAAACGAAGGAGAGCCTCTCCAGGCACCTGCCGTCAGCCCGATTCGCTATATGATATTCAGCTCACTTTGGCAAGTGTCTTGAGGATATCTTGGCGGTCTTCATAGAGCTGATATCAGCGAGGTATGGCAAATGTGAAGTCCACTCACCAAATGTTCATTCAGGCTATTTGAAGCATTGATTGTGATGAGAAGCTCTTCTGCGATGGCAGCAGAGCTGACACGATTGCCTTCGACCAGCGCCATGCCGATGTTAGTTTTGACTTTGCCAGGAGTAAGCATCTTCGTGGGGAAGAGCAATAGGTCGGTTGCGGTCCCATTCATCACTTCGTATGTGGGGAATGACGGATCCGTCGCACGAGGAGAGTTTGACTTTGGGCTGACGAGTGACCAATTGTCGAGAGGACCACTGGAAGAAGATGCCTTGTGTCGCATGTCGAGACGTTCGTCGTGTTTAAATGTACAGTCGATGCCAAAGCGGCACGACCCGTTCCGATACGCTATACAAGGCTTCTTGCTGGGCAAGCGAGGGGTAATTGAGGATGACGAGCGATTACGGGAGGGATATTGGAGGCTGACGGGTGTTTGTTCGCCGACTTTAGAATGGCTGAATTCGCACTGGTCGCGACGTCGGCAGCCACCAGGCTTGTTGAGAAACTCACAAGGCTTGTTCCTATGTGACACCATATTTCTGAAAGTCTGCAGTGAGTATTCAGAAGTGAAGTGGCGAAGAGAGAAAAGATATTACCTGACACAGAGTATAAATGGGGGCCAGCTTGCAGGGGCGAGGATTCGAAAAGCCGCGCGGCCTATCGTCAGATCGCCATGAAGAGAATCTCTAGTGCGATATTCGTTTCTCCGAGCCGTATCCCTGGCAGACGAATCACGCTAGGATTTCAACTGTGACCCCAGAAAGTGCGATACCGGCATCGCGTGAGACAGGTCGACGACTTTAACTGGAAAACTCTACCCGAAGAGTAGCTGCCAGTCGATGAGCCCAGGGTGAGTAACGTGAGCGGTCTCAGAACTAGCCTGAAACGCCATTCTGAGGTTCCTTTGGAGCGAGGCCGGCAACAAGATGTTCATGGGCTGTCGCACTATTGAAATCGCCCCCTGTCAATGATAATGAGTAGAGTGATCAGTATACAAAATACCTGATCTAATGGTACGATGAGGCGTGAGGAAGGGTGAATCAGTGAGAAGAGTACGCACAGACACAATATCAGAAGAGGCATGACTTGAACGGAGAAGAAAGACAACGATCGCGAGGCACTTGAATAGCATGTGGTTTGGGATAAGATCAAGCAGAGACGTAGGTCTCTGAGATGCGCTGCTCGTGAGCGCGAAAACAACGGAGGGCAGAGGAAGCGGGCAGTAGAGAAGCGATCGATGATGTCAAGGTCTCAAGCCATCGACACTCACCTTATTGTCACTGCCTCCTGATACCCTGCTGTGCGCAGTGGATATAAGAGCGCTTCTATTCTATAACAACACAATCATTGTGGCATGTGTCATGGAGAAGAAGGACGAGCAGGACGAGGTGATGGTACAAGTAGCGTGGGAGGTGTGGTGTGAGTTGACGGAGAAGCGGCTATGTCCGCGTGTGGCGTTTTTTGATCGCCCGACCTTTTCCGATTCCTGCTATTCTACTTCCTGGTCGCCTAACTTTTCGTCATCTTCTTTCCCTTATCTCACTCCTTTTTACAAATGTACTCGGTCATATAGCTCCGCCTATCTCTTCTCTTCAACTCTTTAATCCTCTCCTATCGATCCACCGCTCTACTCATCATATTCGTACATGGAAGTCATCAAAACCCCCTCGGAGGGGTCTCGCGATCTACCCCCTTCCCTTGAGCTTGGTCAGCCTTCGGCGCCTAATCCTTCAGCGATGCAAAGAGCCACCGTTTACCTTCACCAAGAAGTCGATCCAAAGGCTTGTAATCCAGTCTCCATTTATGCTTGCTTTATCAATGGCTTCACTGCTGCCCCTACCTTTTCCGTGAGTGTAGCTAAGCTCTTGTTGATCATCAACTGACAGATCAGGCATGTTTCATCTGGTGCGGTTTTCAGACGTCAGTATCTGCTTGCTGTATCCATCAACTCATCACAATCATTAATCTCTCCTAGTTACAACGAGAGAGATAGGGAGAGAGGAGAATGTTTGCTCACGAATTAGAGGTAACGTAGCCCAACTCGGTCTCGCCCTTGCCCGTACTTTCGCTCCCACTCCTGAACGCACCTATGGCTTTCAGAAACCAGATCAACAAGCTTTCGTATCTCTGGCCGCCTTTCTCGCTGGTACAAGTCTCGGGCGCATAGGTGACCATATGGGTGCCCGGCGGCGGAGCTGGCTGTTTCTATCTGCGGCCATACAGGTCCTCCTCACCATCGCTGGAACACTCTGCGCCCACTTCTCCGAGCAGAATGGCGTTGCTTTGTGGGTGTTCCTCTTCACGGCATCCCCAAACCTTCACTCGTAAATCGCTCATGCTGATCGACAGGGATCGAGATCACCCTTCTTGGACTAATGCTCTTGGCATGCTCGCCCTCGCTTTTCTTTCGGCCACCATCGGTCTGCAGGGCATAGTAGGAAAACGTGTAGGATCACCTATGAATACGACTGTCGTGTAAGTACTTCCCCTTTGCCTCGCATCAAAACCACCTGCTGACCGAGCAGCTTGACTACGACCGTACGTTATCTTTCTCGTCAATGAGAATGTCTTGAGCTGACTTTCAGTGGGTGGAATTATTCAACGACCCTCTTCTTCTCTCTCTTCGCCCAACACCGTCCCGAGATATTCGAGCGGCGGGAGTGTTCATGGTTTTCGTCGGTTCCTTCTGTGCAAGGGCTATCTTACAGAGCCGTGCGGGATCTGCGGGGGCTCTGGGGGTGCTGGCGGGTCTGCGAGCATTACAGGCTGTATGGTGGATTTGTATTCGCCCTAAACCATTAAGCTAAAAGGCATGTTAAGAGGTTTAGACACATAGATCTTGGGATTTAGGTATGCAATCTTGTCCTTGTGACTTTTAGATGTCCTACCAATCCAATCGACAAGTCATCCACCCACTCACAGTGCAAACGCCTTACATGCACTGGTCGACCTCTTCCTCTTTCTACCTAAAATCCCTCCGTATGGCTGGCTGTGTCACGATCAATACTTATAGTGAAATCAACTCTCACTAGCAGAGTTGATATTGAGCCTTTCATGACGGTTTATGATTTCGGGCTCGCTACCCGGTCATGACAGGCTGGCTTCTACCACAAAATGATGGAGGAAGTAGCTCAGCAATCTTCACTCTGTAGCTCAGATCCATCTGCCGTACACTTTATAATCAGAGGTCAAAACTGGCATTCATATCATCAAACAGAAGGAATTACTTTCTGAGTTTAATCATGCTGAATTGTCTCAAGGCTTACAATACACACAGAGCGAAACACGGTAATGATAAGTACTTGTATATGGCCAATCCCATTGGCCAATCACTGAGAAAGGGTGGATGATTGAGCTGATGGTTGTTCGTGGGAGGCCAGGCACTCAGTCACTGCGTCGGTCAAAGGAAAGAGGGAGCTACCGTGACTCTTGATGAAAAAGTAAACTCGATTTTCACATTGTGGGAGTTGTTCAAGCGTGATGGCTGAGGGTGCTGGAACCGCACTACCCTGTCCCGATAGCAACTCTTCAATGCGCAAGGCTTGGTCTATCCAGAGGGGGGGCAGTGCACGGTAATTTGGTCTGTACTGACTGGCGGCGGGGAGATCAAGAGCCCCAGCAAGCTGACGGACAGATTGAGCAAACTCAATCACCCCGTCACAATGCATTCCCGCTGTGTCTCCCGAAACTGGAGTGGTTGCATTTTGAATGTAGGGTGCCACTAGGTGAAACAGTGAAAAATCATTCAGTTCTAGAGACCAACGAAGTATCTGACTGCCAGTCGAAACGGTAGAGTCAGGTGAAAGGGTGACATTCAAGGTCTTCAGCTGTGCATCAAACTTATCGGCCATCCGAGTGTATCGTTCGGCTTCATCTTTGTGATGAGTGGAGCCATTGCGTGATGGATAGAATAATTTCTGATGGCACGCGGCAATCCCCTGGGCTGAGTGGAAAGCCCTTGTCAGAAGCTTGATGCCTTCTTGTCGGGTGTTGGTGTCCAGGTCACCCCACGGAAGAGCCGGGGGCCCGGACGTACGTGTATAGGGAGGGGCGTCATGACATGTATAATCAGGGAGAACTTCAGGGGCTTCATAAGGAGGCGGCTGGTCCCCCATTTGGTATGTCCAATGTGAGAGGTGGGTGGGCAATGAATGCAGAGAGTAGATCAGCTATTAGTTTTTACTTATACTGTTGCATAGCTTGGTTGTCTTCTCACTCATTTCACATAGAATTTTCTCATGACTCCACCAGTCTTCCTTGGCAGAGACCAGCATAGCATTCTAAAGTGTGTGGGAAACAAGCTTCTACACTTCATAGGTTGGATACCCCTCCTCCGCTACCCCATCGGGATATCGTCCTCGGTCTCACGTATCGCCTCGTCCTCGTTCTCACGTATCGCCTCGTCCTCGTTCTCACGATCTCATCACGTACAGCCCCTAGCATAGCATCGATTGGAGCTCGGTGGAGATCGAATCGTCCGTCGAGGATGAGGCGATACGTGAGACCGAGGATGAGGCGATACGTGAGAAAGATGAGAAGCGAGCCGCGACTACAGGAAGGGCGGCGACGGAAGGAAGACGAGCCGTGGGTGATAGTGAGGGCCCCAAGGCCCATGGACAAAACTTGGTGGGGGGAATTCCCCTGCTGAGAGACTGAGATAATCAGCGACAGTCTAGCTTAGCACCGATATGAGGGGACTAATGGGTAGCGGTGAAACAATCTATAAAAGATCGATAGGCATTGAGTTCTGGGTGAGAGGCCATGTTGTTAAAGTATATCAAATTGATATGTTTGGTAAGGTGAAGACGGAAAATCGATAGATGATGATAGTACGATTTGGAAGTAGTACTGGGGAAGAAGAAGAAGTGGGCCGAAGTACCGAGTATTTAGTATAACTAACACGACTGCTTGTCGTCAGGGCACTGGTAACCTCGCATAACGATGTGTCTCAGCAACAACAAACACCATGACGACAATCAAAATTCCCACGCTACGTGTCTCACATTTATATAAGTTAGGGATACGCTGACAAACTTTGTTGAGGTTTGAAGTGCCCCAAAACCTCTGTCTCACACACAACGTAATCATTGCTGGTAACGACAAGCAACCACGGCAAACCTCAGTGAAGCTAGCTGTCCCATCACCAGTGAACAACGGTACCACCTATCAACAACCGGTGTTTTGGCTATTAATCTTGTGTAACCCGCTGAGTGTCTTTTCATCATTACACTAGCATGCCAACCTGTCAAATTGACAGGCCCGTCTCCCGCCTCTCGAGTCGACTCTGTGCACCCGTAAATCTGTTGAATCTATACACACATACTTCTAGCTTGGGAATCCGTTATTTGTGAACCTCAATTGTGGCTATCTCCCTCTTCTCACCTTTATCGTCTCGCTTCTTGTGTTTGCCAACCTGTCAAATTGACAGGCCTGTCTCCTGCTTCTCAAGCTAAATCCATGAACCCGTGGCCTCTTCTTTCCTCTCTCTCTCTCTGTAGCTTGTAGGTAGTGAATGTAGTGGTTGTGACAACCTGATTTCCTTCTCTCTCTCTCTCTCCACGCCCTCGTTTACCGTCTTGCTTTTGGCGTGCGGGCGTCGCCGCTAGCCACGTGGTTTATCCCCCCAAGTTGTCTTGACATCATCTGTTATTATAATAGATGCATAGTAAGCACACAAGGACATCCACACCTAAGGAGGGGGCGACTGTCACGAACCATGTGTGACATCCCTGACAACCACCATCACCGACCCTCCTTTCACCATCACCAAACCCCTATCCACCGTCAACCAGCACCATCCGAACCACTGAGACCTAGGGGACATGTCACGCCTGCGGGTAGACTGTGGTTGCAAAGTACTGCCTTGGGTACTGAAGGGTTTTAGTCTCTGGCTCGTAGAGCTTGATGACTGCCTTAGGTACTGAGGGTACTGAGGGTACTGAGGTGTTGGGTTAGAACCAACTAGATGACTTTCATAGATGAAGTTCAACTTCAAGATGAAGATACATTGCTGAAAAAAGAGGGGGGAGATGTGCTCCCTTTATACCCTTCAAAACTAAAGTAGGTGTACTAAATAAAAAAACGTGTGAGGGATTTTCTAGCCAATCACATAAATGCCTCAAAGTGAGTGCACCGCGGAAAACTAATTCCAGCCAATCACATAAATGCCTCACTGCTAAACTGCTGAACCTTCCAGGCTTCAGCCAATCACGTAAATGCCTCACTGCTGAACCGCTAAATACCATGACTCATATTTTCCTTCAATCCTTATCACAGTTCCTAGCATGAGTCATATTTCCTTATCACTATTCTGAGCATGAGTCAGAATTCCTTATCACTATTCATGACAGGACATTTGTCACGACAACCCCACCTGGCGGAGAACTACGGCAAAGTTAGGAGACCGAGGGAGGCAGAGCAGAGTGGAGGAAGTTAGGCAAAGTGCGGCTAAGTTGGCGGAGTAGAATGTCGGAGATATGGCGAGGTACGGCGAGGTTGGACGAAGAGGACTAAGCGTGAGGCTATGCAGGAGTTGAGGGACATTCTATGAGAAGAGAGGAGAGGTATGGATCATTTACAGATCGCTGAACTTCTTCAGTGATCCTTGATTGCTGTCAGTAGTGAAAGATAGATAGAGATAGCTACATTCAAATCGGGATACATCGCCATCAGTAGAACAAAACCACAGTTAGGATAACTACGCCGAAGTACGCCGTAGTTACACCCCTTTCAACATCTGCGCCCTCCTGGTCGGGTGAGACATTGACTCAGAATTGTCAAGTTAGCCAAGGTTCGTTGACCGTTGGTCAGCTAGAGAGAAGTTATTTGACGGCTGTGACAAATGGTTAGCAGCTATGACCGTAGTTGCCCTTGGTGCTGCAGATATGCTGGACGTACAAGGGGTGTCATGAATCAAGAATCATGACCTAGTATCGTTATGGACTTAGAATTAGTGACTCATGATTAATTAGGAATTGATAAGTAATTAAGGAACTGCAACACAAACTGTAGTGCAGAATGTAGTGCAAACTGTATTACAGATATTGTGGACCAACTGTAGGACAGTTGGTAGAACCAAGTCTTGTCTGCAGTGCCATTGCACTACAGATGGTAACTAGTCAACAAGTATATAAACCCATAGTTCCAGTATCTTCTTCAGCAATGAATCTCCTTTTTCTCTCTTCCCTTTTCTAACCTTTTCTCGATCATCCCCCTGGGTAAGAGAGTAAGAGACGTCACTCAGTTGGTTCTAACCCAACACTCTCAGTTCTCTCAGTATCAACACAGTCATTCCGTCCTACGAGCCAGAGACTAACCCCTTCAGTATCCAAGGCAGTCCCTTCGTTATTGCAGTCTAACCGTAGGCGTGACAAGGGGTCATCATTCGTCAGTTTCTCCATCAAATTCATCTTTTAACCCGGAACTTATCAAAGAAAAGTTCTCATATTGGATCTGCTACTCATAGTTTACTCCTCCAATGGAACAAACTTCTTCTCCGCACTGGCCGCCACGCTATCTTCGGCCAAAAGTTCTGGGGAGAGATCAATGATACCATCGGGCAAAAAGAGCGTGATCTGACTGGTGTTGCGGTTGCTGGGCCCAGCACTCAAGGGCTGAGGGACAAGGTTCGTGTGGCTAGTGAGACGTTCTGGGATGCTAACTGGAGAATGAGAAACGTTGTGAGAAACAATCCTTTGTTAGTGGTAGCCCGTGAAGAGCTTACTGATATGGAGGGGGCCCACTCATGGTGGGCTGATAGTGCAAGATGGAGTTGTGAGAAAGGAAAAGAGAAAATGGTGATGGACGATATTGACACTCTTGTAGATGAAGAGAAAAATAAAACTTAGCGATTGTATAACTTCTTGTCCCATGTATCAGTCTTGCGTAGTCCCTAAGTTTGTCAAGCACGACCTTGACAAACTAAATCTTCCTTCGGTTTCTCAGGGTATTGTTCATGGAACTCTGTAAGAATTTCATCTGCACCATCAACATTTTCCTTTGGTTCCCAAAAGACAGCATCATCAGTTCCTTCAAATCCCAACCACTCTACTAAATACTCGACCTTCCCAGATTTCCTATTTATTCCAGAGTCTAGAATATTCTTGACTTCCCATGACTCTCCTTTGTCATCAACCTCAACTGGATGAGGAAGTTCTGCCTCTTGTCCCACAAAGTTTGTTGGTTGGAACTTCCTTAACAACGACACATGTAACACATCATGACGCTTAGCCATCGAGGCTGGTAACTTCAATCTACACGCATGAGTACCAATACGTTCAATAACTTTGTACGACCCTGCCTGTTTAGCATCTAACTTCTTACTAGGTCTCTTAGTTCTAATATTCTCAAGAGATAACATTACTTTGCTTCCAACTTCAAAAGGCGGTGTTTTTGAGTGCTTTTGATTATACCCTTCTGAGTACCTCTCATTTGCCAGCTTGACGCCTTCGATACATTGTTTATGTATCTCCTGCAGATCAGTAACAACTGCTTGAGCAACAGGAACTTCTACTTCTGGTTCCTTAATCTCATCTGTCCATCGTGGGTGATACCCCAAAGTTTGCAAAGAACGGGCTCATCCCAATAGCTGAATGAATCGTATTATTATATGCAAAGCTAGCCTTTGATAATAACCTTGCCCAATCGTCCTGCTGATAACAAGGGAATACTTGTAGATACATTTCCAAAGCTTGGTTTGTTCGTTCAGTCTGTCTGTCAGTCTGTGGATGATATACAGTGGAAAGATCTAGTCTTATACAAAGACTAGCAGTAAGATCTTTCTAGAACTTTGAGGTAAACTTCGCTCCTCTATCGGAAACTATTCCTTCTGGCAGTCCATGCTGAGCCACCACATGTTCTATTACCAGATCCGCTAACCCCGCAGCTGTGAGGTTTGTTGTTGTTGGTAGGAACATTGCCCATTTTGTCAACCGGTCCACTACAACCAAAATTGAGTTGAAACCATTTGACTCCGGAAGTTCTTCAACAAAGTCCATTGAAATACTAGACCAGGGCTTCTCCGCTACTTCCAATGTCTTCAGTGTTCCTTGAGGTTTTTGTCTGTTTGTTTTAGCCCTCTGACAAACCACACAACCTCCAACGTAATCTTCCACAT